AAGGAAGGTTGCCACCAGCTGCAACCGGCCCCAATTAAGGATGCCATCGTCAAGAAATTAATTTTGTTTTAATTCTTTTTAATTTTTATACTGTATGTGTTTTAAATTTTGGCTGTTCACCGCCCTGAGTCCTTCGGGAGAAGGGCGGTATATAAATTTAAATAATAAATAAATAAATTTTGCATCTTGTACAAAAAAAAATGGACCTGTGATTTTCCTGCAACTGGGGACGTTTCTGGAAATTTGGAGGGGGAGAAGCTCACCCATTGGACTCTTAGCCACCCACCCATTCCAGGAACCTCAGAAACTCTGCCTGGCTGCAGCCCAACCTTGGCACGGATGCCCTGGTGATTGAAGATTAATCATTTCTAAAAAAAAATGTTCCTCCAGGGACGGAGAAAGAACAAGTGCAGAGAGTCCCGTGCTGCCCACCACAAATACAGGCAGTTCTCAACTTACGACAAAGTAACAAAATTACAAAGTCACCGAGTAAAGGACTTATACGGCCATTTTTCACACTTATGACCACTGCATTCAAAATTCCGAGGCTTGGCAACTGGCATGTACTTATGACAGTTGCAATGTCCCGGGAAGGGGAGGGGGTGACGTGATCCCCTTCTGACAAGCAAAATCAGTGGGGAAGCCAAATTCACTTAACAACCTGGTTACTAATCGAACTGCAACGGTTCACTTAACCGCCGTGTCTAGAAAGGTCGTAAAATGGGGGCAAAGCTAACGTCACAAATGTCTCACTTAACAGCAGGAAATTTTGGGCTGCACGGTGGCCGTTAAGTCGAGGACTACCTGCAGCTGTAAGCCAGCAAAACCCACCCACGAAAGTTTCTGGGACTCTAAATCAGCTTTTTGGGAGAAAACAGCCTTCCAGCAACGCCCAAGCTCTTCCCCGAGCTGACCTGGCCAAGGTGCGTCCTTCATTCGTGGGCATTAAGTGGCACTTCCTGCTCCCTCCTATATTTTTGCAGTGGGTTAATCAGCAATTAACCTGGTTGTTCCCATTTGTTTCATTTCCAGGCCAAAAAAAGTCTCAAAAAAATATTTTCCCCTCTTCCCACCGGGTCACATCTGGCTGCAGCTGCACCCCCCCCCCTTCTGGGCCTACAGAAGGTTGAGTCCGGGAAGCGCCTCCAAGCCAGCTCCTCTGTCTGTCTGTCTGTGTGTGTGTGTGTAGGGCAATCCTGCCTCCCCCTCCCCATAATCTCTGCAAGGACCCCCTAAAAAAATAATCCCACCCCCTCCCTTATATGCAACTCAACCGATTGCTTTGAGCTTCCTTTAAAGCCCACTCTCAGAACTCCAACCCAGGCAGGGGGCTTGGGCTTCATCTGCCGGCTGAGGATGATGGGTGTGGGAGTCAGCTGAACTCCAGCTGTTTCCCACCCCCTCCCCCACCCCCACCAAGAGGAATTTGGGGCAAATCTCAACCTTTTCAGCTCTTCTCTTCTGCAGCATTCAAAGGGTCCCAGAGCTGGCAGGCTGGCTGCCCCCTCATTGTAGAGGGAGGGGGGGAGGTCGGGGGAGGAGAGAGAGCACCAAAACCCCTCATCCACACCCACCCACCCGATTTTCTGCCAAGGCTGCCCTGCCCTGCTTTCCAAGGCCAGGCAAAAATGACGCAGGGCAGGGCTCGGGGCTGGGTCGCTGGAGGGGAAAGTTGGGTGGAGTTGGGGGAGCCCCCTCCCCAAGCGAGGGTCTGGGGGCGCCCCTTGCAAAGAGAAGCCGGGGGGGGGGAAGCAGGGACCCCTCTCCATCCCCCCCCCCACCCATCCCAGCCTTACCTGGAGCTGGTGGAAGTCGTCCTGCAGCTCCTGCCAGGCGTCCAGGGCGTTCTGCATGGCTTGGGGCTGAGACCCCCAGCAGGACCCCCCGCCCGCAGCGCGATGAATGAGCAGGCCCCGCCCCCGGCCACGCCCTCTCGCCGCACCGCAAAGGTTAATTCATTGCCGCTGCTGCTGCTGCTTCTCCCAGGGGAGCGCCCGACGGCGCAGGCGCGTCTCCTCCGCCTCCCTCGCCCCGCCTTCTCGGTTCCGATTGGCTGAAACTCAGACAAGATCTTTCTTTTTTTTTTTTCCGACCCCGCCCTTGGCCACGCCCCCGGAGGAGGCCACGAGCCCCGCCCGCCCCGGTTTAACCCTTCGCTCGCCGGGGAAGGGAAGGGAAAGGAAAGGAAAGGAAAATGAACCAGAAAGAAGGAAAGGAAAGGAGAAGAGAGGAAAGGAAGGAAAGAAAGGAAAGAAAGAAAGAAAAGAAAAGTGAAACAGAAAAGTGGAGGGGAGGGTAGAGGAGAGGAGAGGGACAAGAAGGGAGGGAAAGGAAAGGAAAATGAACCAGAAAGAAGGAAAGGAAAGGAGAGGAAAGAAAGGAAAAATGAAATGGAAAGGAGGAGAGGGGACAGGAAGAAAGGAAAGGAAAGAGGGAGAAATGAAAAGGAAACGGGAAGGAAACAGAAAGAAGGAAGGAAAAGGAAAAGAAAAAAGGAAAGAAAAATGAAATGAAATGGAAAGGAGGAGAGGGGAGGAGAGGAGAGGAAGAAAGGGAGGGGAGGGAAAGGAAAGAAAGGAAAAATGAAACAAAAAGAAGGAGGGAAAGGAAAGGAAACTGAACTAGAAAGGAAAGGAAAGGAGAAAAGAGGAGAGGAAGAAAGAAAGGAAAAATGAATCGGAAAGGAAGAGAGGGGACAGGAAGATAGGAAAGGAAAGTGGGAGGAAGGAAAGGCAAGGGAAAGGAAACGGAAAGGAGGAAAGGAAAAGAAAAAAGAAAGGAAAGGGAAATGAAATGGAAAGAAGGAAAGGAGAAGAGAGGAGAGGAAAAGAAATTATTTGCAGCCACTAGATGTGCATGCAAGGTGCCTTGAACTGCAGAGGTGCCTTGAACTCCTTGGCTTAGAGATTTCCCCCCTTTTGGCTTGCAGCTCCATCGCCCAGGTTGAAGCTCTGATCGGGGCCAACCAGCAGCCCCGTCTGCATTGCAAAGCTAGGGGAGCCCTGCGCTGTGGCCCTTGGGAAGCTGCCGTTCGTCAGAAAGCCCTCTGGGGGGCAGGAAACTTTCAGGATTGGGCTGCCTTGTGGCTCTGCTGTGTTGCTATGGCCACTTCTCTCTTGCCACAGAAGCTTCGGTGTCTGGGCTGAACATAGATGACCGCACCAGGGCCCTGCGGTCCCACCAGGACAGACCCCCTCAGTGCCTTGGATTGGAGCCCCCTGAGTTTACAATGGCAGATCCAAGGTGGGCCTCTATTTTTATCTTTATTTCTTTGCCGTCTTTTCCTCTTGGAAACTTTTGTCTGTAAAAGTTCCCAGGGGCTTGTAAGTCGTTTCCTCTGGTGGATTTCTAATGGAAAGGACATGGCAAGAGAGATGGCAAGAGCCTTGGTAGTACAGTGGTCTAAGGCACCCTGTTATTAAGCTGGTTATTAAGACCAGCTGCCTGCAATTACTGCAGGTTCGAATCTCCCCAGGCTCAAGGTTGACTCAGCCTTCCATCCTTTCTAAGGTAGGTAAATTGAGGACCCAGTTTGTGGGGGCAATAAGCTGACTTTGTATAAATATACAAAAGGATGAAGGCTATTGCTGAGCACATTGTAAGCCGCCCTGAGTCTCCGGAGAAGGGCAGCATATAAATCAAATTAAAAAAAAAAAAGTGCTATGAAAGAGGGGAATAGAGTTTTTAATTTTGTGTTCATTTATTTGTTTTGTCCTGTTTATGTAGTATATATTAGAGGTGGAGACCAATGGTGAAATCCAATTTTTTTTTTACTACCGGTTCTGTGGGCGTGGTGTGGCTTGGGGGGGCGTGGCAGGGGACGGATACTGCAAAATCCCCATTCCCACCCCACTCCAGGGGAAGGATACTGCAAAATCTCCATTCCCACCCCACTCCAGGGGAAGGATACTGCAAAATCTCCATTCCCTCCCCAGCCAGAGGTGGCATTTGCCAGTTCTCTGAACTGCTCAAAATTTCCACTACCGGTTCTCCAGAACCTGTCAGAACCTGCTGGATTTCACCCCTGGTGGAGACCCTTTGAGAGCTGCATGCAGCAAAATTTCATTTTGATGTATGCCGATTAGTGTACATTTCAAAGTGACAATTAAGTTATTCTAAGTCTTAAGTCTAGAGAAGATGCCTGCAATTTTGCTTCCAGGATTGTTATACATGTAAGAAAGAGTTTGGTAGCAGCTTTTGGAAACCAGAAAAAGGTTCATTTTATGCCTTTTTAAGGCCTTTTGTTATTCTGAAGAAGGGTGCCAAATCTCTTCTGGTTTTTGGCTCTCCCAGTTCTCTATGATATGATTAGGGGTAAGTTTTTTAAAGGCTGAGCCAGGTTATCCGCTCTCGCCTGCAAGATTCCAGGGCAGAGTTTCTCAACCATGGCCACTTTAAAATGTATGGACTTCATTTCCAAAATTTCCTCAGCCATGTGGACTTCAACTCCCAGAATTCCCCAGCCGTGTGGACTTCAACTCCCAGAATTCCCTAACTATGTGGACTTCAACTCCCAGAATTCCCTAACTATGTAGACTTCAACTCCCAGAATTCTGTAGCCATGCGGACTTCAACTCCCAGAATTCTCCAACCATCTGGACTTCAACTCCCAGAATTCTGCAGCTATGTGGACTTCAACTCCCAGAATCCCCTAGCCATGTGGACTTCAACTCCCAGAATTCTGTAGCCATGTAGACCTGACCTCCCAGAATTTCCTGGCTGGGGAATTCTGAGAATTGAAGTCTTCCAGGCTTAAAAGTCGCCAAGGTTGGAGACCCCTGATCTAGGGCACCACATCACTAGAGAAGAAGTAGCTCGGAGTGGTGGTTCCTGAGGTTCTGAAGAGCCATCCGAGAGTTGGAAGAAAGCCATGGAAGGGGGATGAAGGATGGGCTGAGGGGGTCTGGCTGGCCGGCCTCCCTCCCTGCGAAGGTGGGCTGCATCAGCATCAGCAGCATCCATCCAGATGTGCTGGAACTGGAAGATGCGGGCAGGGCTGGCCGGAGATCTCCTGGGAGATCCGTGCCTCATCATAAGGGCAGCCTCTTGATGTCGTGATGACCTCAGGGGCCTGGCCAGGATCCCTCAGCCCTGCTCCACGGAAGGGCCACACCAGCAGGGCTGCTTCGGGGACGGTGGGGACAAGGGAGGAGAAGCAGAAGGAACATCCCCTCGGCATCACCTCCGCTCCCAGGTGTCAAGAACAGCAACACGAGCCTGGACAGGTAACTCAGTTTGGGGTGGGGCTGAGATGCCGATTCCTTCTCCAACCGGAGTCACCGATGGTGCCAAAGTGATGGAGAGGTGGGCTTGATGAGGTTGGACTCGGTGGGTTGGCCCCTACCTGGGCATGGCGGTTTATGAACCAAGGCTGATGAGGGCGCGGTGCCCATCCAGCCAAAGGGGGGCTCATCTCAGCCCCCATGGCGGAAGAGCCGAGAGCTTAGAGCACGAGTGAATCAGGGCAGGTGACATCATTCAAACTTCATCAGAAATTATGCTGGCCAAAGGCCACCAGGGGCCCGTGGCTATGTGGTTATACGGGACACCCTTTCCCACAGGGGGCGTGGTTGGCTGCCTGTGGGTAATTGAAGAGAACTCTGCACATGTTCAGAAGCGGTCTTGTTCCCCTCTGATTGGAGAACCGTGGAATACCTGGCTAGGGTGGCTCAGTGGCTAAGACGCTTAGCTTGTCGATCAGAAAGGGCGGCAGTTCGGCGGTTCGAATCCCTAGTATAGGTCTCCTGCGTGAGCAGGGGGTTGGACTAGATGACCTCCAAGGTCCCTTCCAGCTCTTTTACTGAATAAGCTGCTCCATATGAGAAGCCTTTCAATGCCTCTTTCCTCATTAAGGCTGCAATAACTTTTTCTTTTCTTTTTTTCCCCTTCCTTTTTCTTTCTTTCCTTCCTTCCTTTTCTTTTTTTCCTTCCTTCCTTCTTTTTTTTCTTTCTTTCTTTCTTTCCTTCCTTCTTTTTCTTTTTCCTTCCTTGCTTCCTTCTTTCTTTTTCTTTTCTTCCTTCCTTCCTTCTTTTTCTTCCTTCCTTCCTTCTTTTTCTTCTTTTCTTTCTTCCTTCCTTCCTTCCTTCCTTCTTTCTTTCTTTCCTTAAACCTCCTTTCCCATTTTGACTCCATTTAGGGGTGCCAAACCCTCCAATCGGATTGCCAGCCCCACATTACCTGTCCTCTTGCTTTATTTTTAATGTCACCTTTACTTTTTGTATTCCCTTTTTATTATGCTGTAGGCTTTTCAGAGTGGCTGTAACGGTAAGGTGGGCAGCACATAAATTTAATAAATAGAGCCTTGGTAGTACAGGGGTTTAAGGCACCCTGTTATTAAGCTTATTAAGACCAGCTGCCTGCAATTACTGCAGGGTTCGAATCTCGCCAAGGCTCAAGGTTGACTCAGCCTTCCATCCTTTCTAAGGTAGGTAAAATGAGGACCCAGTTTGTGGGGGCAATAAGCTGACTTTGTATAAGATATACAAAAGTATGAAGGCTATTGCTTAACGCATTGTAAGCCGCCCTGAGTCTCCGGAGAAGGGCGGCATATAAATCAAATAAAAAAAAAATAAAAAAAAATAATGCATAAATTCAGGGCTGGGCCCTTCACCTCCGGGCTCCAGGCGATGGCTCCGTCTCTCTCTCTCTCTCTTTCTCTTTCTCGGCTCCAGACGAGATGCCCTTCGTCAAATACCCCCGAAGAGTTGACCCCCTTTGGCACGAATGGGATCGGAAGGCGCAGAAGTGCGGGTTGAGGCACACGGTTTATGCTGTCAACGGAGACCGCTACATTGGGGAATGGCTGGACAATGTCAAACACGGTAAAAAGGGAAAGGGGAAGAGCGCAGCTGCCGTCCACCACATCTCACCTGCAATTTTGTTAACCAGCTCAATTTTTTCGCCTGATGAACCATGGCAGGCAAAGGAACACAAATATGGAAAAAATCCGGAGCGATCTACAGCGGAGACTGGAAATTCGGAAAACGGGACGGCTTCGGGACTTACAGTATTCCAGACCCTGTGACAAAAGATTATAAGAAAGTATATTCCGGCTGGTGGAAAAATGACAAAATGTGGGTGAGTTTATTTGCTTTTTACTATATTTTTCGGTGTATAAGACGCACCAGAGTAGAAGACGCACCTACCTTTTTTGGTGAGGAAAAGAAGAAAAAAGAAATCTCCCTCTGCCTCTGCGCAATTTTGTCTCGTTGCAGCAAAAACAGCAAACAGCCTGCTTTACTTTCATTTTCGTTTTCAGCATAGCTTGATTAGCACAAGGAAAAAAAAAAATCTGCTCCCAGCAATTTACCTCTTTGCAGCAAGCAGCAGAGCTCTGCGCAAAACAGCTGAGAGTCGGGAGGCCTATCCAATCAACTTGTGCTAATTAGGCTGTGCTGAAGCTGAAAGGAACTTTTTTTTCTTGCTGCTTGCTGCAAGGAGGTAAACTGCTGGGAGGCAGAGGCCAAAGGGTGGGGGCCAGTAGGTGGGTGGGGCTACATTCGGTGTATAAGACGCACCTAAATTTTCACCCCCTTTTAGGGGGGAAAAAGGTGCGTCTTATACACCGAAAAATACAGTAAATGGGCCAGGGTTTCACTTTGAGGGTATGTGTGTGTGTGGAGTGTGACGGGAGAGTGGAATTATTTCACTGGACAACCACAGACATTTTAGAGTAACTATGTGGAGGAAACCATAGTTTGTTATTTATAAAATGGGATGTTATAGGTGGTTTGTTTGATGTTCTAGCCTGGTTTATTTCTGTCTTCTTTGGATGGCCATTCCCAAATATCTCCAAAGTGAGCTGTTCCCCACAAAAAAAGAAGATAAACTAGGAACGCCGTTCCTCACTTGCAAGACCGACAAATCATGGTTTAAATAAACTATAGTATGACACGTAAAGCAAACTCTAGAAGGGCTGCTTCTAAGTAGAAAGTCTTCAACTCCCAGAATTCCCTAGTTAGCGTGACTGCCTCTAAAGGAGGATGTCTAATCTTGGCAACTTTAAGACTTGTGGACTTCAACTCCCAGAATTCCCCAGTTAGCTAACTGGGGAATTCTGGGAGTTGAAGTCCACAAGTCTTAAAAGTTGCAAGATTGGACACCCCGGGATCATAAATATTTTGCACGGAGCATTAAGAGCATTAAAGAACTGAGGAACTGGTAGAGACGTGGCCCTTTCCGAATCGGATTTAACCACGATTGATCCCTTCTCGTGTCATTCCACACCCAAAAAGAGTCAGCCATTCCTCTCATCTGAATTCTTTCACCCTTCCAGGGCTACGGAGTCAAGTTCTACTCCGAGGGAGAGTATTACGAGGGCGAATGGGCCTGGGGGAAGCGACACGGCTGGGGGCGGATGTACTACAAAGACGGGGCCATCTACGAAGGCCAGTGGTCCGAAGACCAGCCCGGCGGTCAAGGGATGTTCCGCTGTAGTAAGTGTCCAACTTGGCTGCGTTGATGGCCTGATTTTAAATAGGATGTGAGAAAGACTTTGGGAGCAAAAGAAGAGAGGCCACCAAAAGAATTGTCAGATAAAAAGACTGCGCAGCGACGATCGTAAGCATGAAACAGTTTGCCAAGCAGCTGAATTGTGATCACCTGACCGTGGGGGGTGGGGTGGGGGGGTATGCCGGATAGGTCGTTAAGTGTGAAAACCGGTCGTAAGATCCATTTTTCAGTACCGTTGAACGGTCACTAAATGGGAACAAGGAGAAGTCCGAAGCCTCGGGTTTTGAAATATCGTTTTATATTTTAATAATGGGAATAGCAGTATCTGGAGCTTTATTGGGGTTCAGGGAGGGGGGATTTTTTGGGGGGGGGATGGAGTTCATCCCATTGGCCTCTCAGCTCTTGGCACCTCGATGGAAACCAGCGTTTAATTTCTAAAAGAAGAATCCCTTTGCCAAGTTTTATAAAATTCCGGACGGGAGGGCCCCCGTCTCCCTTCGCTAAAGATTTTCAACCTTTTTCAAGGTTTTTTGCAAAGGCATTCCGAAATGGAGCGTCTCTTATCACCTCCGCTGAATTTTTCCTTAGGCTAAAATTAGCTCGCCGGGGTTTAATTTTATCGGCCTTGGCAGTTGCCAATGTCCTCCAGGCTGCCAGTGGTAGGAGTCACGGGGTTGGCAAGCCTCCTGTTTGGGATTACGATGAAAGTGTTGTCAAAGACCATCCTGGCTACATGCTCGCAACCTGACACTGGCCATTAATGCAGGTTTGACTTACTTCACTGTGACAGAAAGGCTGGAGAAGGGGAGAGGCAGCACCCCAGGCTGCCCTGCGATCTGATTTTCTCACTATAAAAACATTCTCCTGGACCCAAATCTGGGCAAATCTGTTTTATTTCCCTCCCAGGGCAGCTGATTAATCTACCGTTCTCATAAACCCTCTTTAGCATCGTGTTTTGGGTTCTTAAACAACTTTACCTCTCAGGATGTTAACTCATCCTGAGTTAAACAACTCAGGATGATAAGAACCTCTGCACGAAAGAGGAAAGGGAACAGATTATTTTTTAAAAAATTCGGCATTGACAAGTTCACCATCGGTCAATTGCAAAAGGCAGCTTGACTCGGACCAGCTTAAATCCCGCGAACACTGAACACTACTGAACATCAACACCGGCCTATCTGCCTTGGGAAGGACTTGAAAAGTAGATAAAAAATGCCAAATCCAGCCTGAACATCTGGCTGACTGTGCAGTGAGCCGCAATAATGAAGAGAGTTAAACTTATTCTACATTTTAAAAATGGGGGAGTCTCAACCAAGGCTACTTTGCCTTCAGTACTAAGTTTGGGGCATCCGAGCGATACTTTCTGGCGTTTCTCGGCTCCGTCCACAACCTAAATTAAAAAAAGGGATTTTTTGGGAGGGCAATCACGAAAATCAACTGTTTTTTTCTTTCTCCTTTTTCAAATGAAAACACGGCTCCCTCTCTCTCTCTCTCCGTCGCAGAAAATGAAAACCGCTATGAAGGTTCATGGAAAGACGGAAAGAAGCACGGCCCGGGAAAATTTATCTACCTAGATACCGGCCAGCTCTACGAAGGTTACTGGGTGGCAGACATACCGAAGTGTGGCACCATGATTGATTTTGGCCGGGACGAAGCTCCGATGCCCACTATATATCCCATCCCCAAGGTAAATCGCAGTCCGTGTGAACTCAGTTTCCTGAGTTGCTTCTTCCTAGGAGTTTTGGTCTTAAGGTTAAAACAATCTTCCTCAACGTTGCCCGCTTTAAGATGGGTGGACTTCAACTCCCAGATTTCCCCAGCCGGCCATGCTTAGAACTCAGCTAATAAATCCTTGCCGATAAATTAGTTCATAAACACCTTAGTTTCATTACCCAACTAGGTAACATCATCAGAGTGGGGTTCGCTCCCTGTTTATATACAGGCAGCCATTGACTTACAAGCATCGTTTAGCGACTGTTCAAAGTTTACAGTGTACGGCTTTTTCCTGCCACATTTGTTAAGTGAGTTATAAAATGTAGTAAGACAGTTGTTCAGTGAATCCGGGCTGCAAACGAATCAAATTTTTTAAAAAACAAAAAAACAAAAAATATATAATAGCTTTGACAGCAGAAATTGGTCCTTTGAGTGGATCAAGTAAATGCTTCTTCTTTTTTTTTTCCCTTTTTCTTTCCAGGTTGAACTGGCGGATCCAGACGGAGTCATCGAAGAAGCTGTTCTGATATTACAAAATGCCGAAATATTCACTTTTCAGCCCCAGAAAGAACGGGGATGATTTTAATCCTGCAGACATTTTCTCCGGTCAAAGTTGCTTTTTAACGGAAAGGACTCTCTCTGATGGATGCCATTCCTTGGAATATATTATCCTGGCTGTCTTTGGGCTTTTTCCTTGGTTATTTTTTCCCGTAGGCGGGGCAGTTTAGCAGCAGAAATGGAGGGATGGATAGGAGACCAAGAGGAGATTCTGGGCTAATTGAACCCCAATGGTCTCTGGATTGATTATGGCCATAAAGGAGTGCAGACAGTCATCCACTTACGACAATGGGAACTAGAATTTCCATGGCTAAGCAAAGCGATGGTTAAGTGATTCACGCCTGATTTTTTTTCTGACCTCTTTTGCCACGGTGGTGAAATGGACCACGGCAGCTGTAAACTGAATCATGCGGTCCTTAAGCGAATCTGGCTTTCCCCACTGACGTTGCTGGTCGGAAGCCAGCTGGGAAGGTCCCAAATAGAGATCACGTGACCCCGGGATGGTACAGCCATTTTAAATACCTCTTGACTGCCAAGCAGCTGAATTTTGATTATATGGGGATGCTGCAATGGTCCTAAGTGTGAGAACCGGTCGTAAGTCTTTTTTTTTTTCTCAGCAGCATTGTAAAAACTGCTTAAGTTTAACATATACTCCAAGCCACCATTTCAAGAGCCTTTAAAACATGTTGGAGCTTGTATTATTATTATTATTACTCTTTTTTTAGGTCAACCAACCTCAAATTTATCGCTATTAGAAAATCAAAGCCTGCGTGGGTGTTAAAAAAAAAAACCCCGAGATCAAAATCCATCCGGCCAAAATGTGAAGTTCTGCCTGAGTGAAACCGGTTAGGAATGAATCTCTACAGCGGTGCTAAATATTTTGCTTTCCTCCCACCCCGAAGGTTCAAAATCAGCAGTCAAAAAAAAACAAACACCTCGACACGCTTTCCCGAAAAGTTCACCTACGGGAAGAGAAGCAGCACAAAAGTAAACTGGAAAAATAATTTTAATTTTCATACTTTCATTTCCAGTCATCTGGGCAATTGCTGAGCAAATGTTGACGGTCTTCGAAGAAAAGTGATTAAAGAAATGCACGCATCTCGCCCCCCCCCCCAGGTTCAAACGATGTGCATGGCAGAATCCTCTTTCTGCTTACTGTGTTAAAGGTAAAGGTTCCCCTCGCACATCTGTGCTAGTCGTTCCTGACTCTAGGGGGCGCTGCTCATCTCCGTTTCAAAGCCGAGGAGCCAGCGCTGTCCGAAGACGTCTCCGTGGTCACGTGGCCGGCATGACTCAACACCAAAGGCGCCCGGAACGCTGTTCCCTTCCCACCAAAGGTGGTCCCTATTTTTCTACTTGCATTTTTTAACGTGCTTTCGAACTGCTAGGTTGGCAGAAGCTGGGATGAGTCACGGGAGCTCACCCTGTCACGCGGCACTAAGGATTCGAACCGTTGAACTGCCGACCTTTTGATCGACAAGCTCAGCGTCTTAGCCACTGAGCCACCGTGACTTACTGTGATAGTTTGTGAGTTAAGGATTTGTGTGTGTGTGTGTGTGTGTGTGTGTGTGTGTGTGTGTGTGTGTGTGAAAACTTTGTATAATTGGGAAGTTTGGAGGTGTTTTTTTTCCCGTTAAAACGTTGCTGAGGATGCCCATAAGAATAAGATAGGTGGCCGAAGTATTTTATAAAGGCAACAACGACTTCAAAGAACGCAATTGTGAACGCACACATAGAGGAGTACAAATGTGTTTTTCCTATGGGGACACACCCCGAAATAGCTCTCCCAATTCCAACACGCCCGCATTCCAGATTTCCAGAGGCTCATAAAGAGCCTGCAGGAAAATTTTTTGAAACCTACCATGTTTTGACACCAGGAGTCACTGAAATAAAAAAATGGAGCAAGGAAACAAATCAAAATAATAATAAAGAAGCTGGTTAAGGGCTGGCCTGTGGTTGGGGGTGGGCCTGTGTGTGTCTCTCTTGCCTGTTTTGCTTCGGTCGGTCAGCAAAATCAAACTTAAGACTCTGGATGTTCTCAAGAACTTAATGCCTTCAGGCAGCGCACGACTCCCAGCCAACCTGTTATTTGACCCAAAAAAAAGTCCAAGGTGCAATACTTCCCACCAAATCTCTTAATTTCCACCGCTTCCCCCAAACCCCATTTTCTCCGTTGATGAACCGCCATTTCGAAGAGAAACAAACCCGGTTCACGGCAAGGGAAGGCACGGCCAGGAGAAGGGTGAGCGATGGGCACAGTGGTGGGTTCCTCCCGGTTCGGCCGAGCTGGTAGCGGTGACGATATGACGTCACCGAACCAGTTCTCTTTGTTCGGGAGCTGGGCCCTCCTGTCCCCCCCCCTGCGTTATTCTTACGTTTTATTTGGCCCTGCCCCCAATTTATTCACTGCCTTCCGAGTCCCAGCTGATCGTCTAAAAGGAAAAAAACTGTTTAAAGTCTTGCCGCGGAGCTTCAAAGGGCCGCCCTACAGCTGATCAGTGTTAAAAGGTAGTGTGGTGGTAGACCAGTGCCTCCAAAAACAAATGAGTAGACCGGTGCCTCCAAAAAGAAATGAGTAGACTGGAACGCTCCAAGAACAAATGGGTAGACCAGTACAGCTCTGCAAGCAAAGCCTGGTAGACCAATACCTCTGCTAAATCCTAAAGAATTGTCAAATGACCATCAAACCACACCCACAAAATAAGCCACGCCCACAGAACCAGTAGTAAAAATATTTAGAACCCACTCTGGATGGGCAGGACTCCCCGATGTTGGGTATTCCACAACCTGACGAGAACAATTCTTTTGTGCCTTTTATTGGTTTATTATTATTTCTTAAAAGCTCTAAGAAGTCCCGCTCTCGTAACCTCTTTCTCCTTACACAGAGGATTACAGCTCAGCCAAATTCGGAAAAGGTCAGGAGAGCCTGGTTGGCTCCACCATCTTTGATCTTCCCAGCAGCTTTCTAGGCGTAGTGCCCGCCGGGAGATGGCAAGGTGTCTCCTCTATGGTCCAGCTGGTCCTGCAAGCGGGCAAACTCGGCCAGCTCGTTCAGCTCCTGGAACTGCCGATCCGTCTTGTGAGTCACCAGCGAGCGATAGAAGTGGACCGCGAAGATGATGAAGACCACGCCGAAGGGGACCATGATGGTGGTGGAGGTGATGGCGGCCGCCTCGCCGGCGGTGATGGTGCCGTTGCCCGCCTGCGCGTCGGCGCCCGTCTTCTTCTTCAGCGGGTGGAATTTGACCCAACAGAGAAGCACCACCTCGGCCAAGAAGAGCAGGGTCCCAATGACGGTGGAGAAGGCCCAGGCCAGCTCGATGTGGTGGTGCATGCGCTCGTGGGGTGACTCCTTGACCGAGTTGAGGTTGTGGACGTTGCTGACGGCCTCGATGTTGGGCAAGATGCAGGTGCTGATCATCAAGGCAAAGAGGTGGACGGCCACCAGGATGGTCGTGCAAGCGCTGAAGGCAATCAAGAGTCCTGGCGGGTAGTCATGTTCTGCGTCTAGCTGGACTTCCACCATGGCCACCTGGAACGGAGCAGACAATGAAGAAAAGGTTCTGAAAGAGCTTTGGAGGCTGAACAACGGGGCCTTATTGGTGGTGTCCCCTTTATTGGTGGATAAAGGGACCTGTCCCACTAGACTGATGTCTACTGCGGCTGACATCAGACGTTCTCCAGCCTTCCAAGCTGGCCCTAAAGTCAGAGGAAGGAGCCTTGTGACTTCTTTCTAGGAAGGTTCCTGCCCTGAAGGTGTCCTACAGAAGGCATTATCTGGACTCAATTGTTAATCTTTTTTGTTGTCATCTAGGCTTGGTATTTCACCAGAATGTCATCATACAGCTTTTGTGGGCCTTCATCATTTATGGCCTGAAGGGATCTCCTTGTTCCGAAGGAGCAACGGATAGAAACAAGAGTATTAGGATGCTAAGAACTGGGTTCATAGGGAAATGCTGGCCTGTTAACCGAAAGCTTGAGGAAATGTCTTCGCTCAGCTCATTTACCTGGTTTCAGGCGTGGGCTGCTGGGGGTTCGGGAGAACCTCTAGCTAAGATTCTGTGCAGTTCGGAGAATCTTCAAATCCCACTCCTGGCTGGCCCCGCCCACACGGCCCCTCCCCTCCCCGGAGTCCCCACGCCAGTGGTGGGATTCAGCCAGTTCACATCACTTCGGGAGAACCGGTTGTTAACTTTCTGAGCAGTTTGGTGAACTGGTTGTTGGAAGCAATCATTAGGGCAGAGAACCGCTTGTTAAATTACTTGAACCCCACCACTGCCCCACGCCGGCCAGGTAAGTGCAGGGCGCACACGGAGGCTCAGGGAGGGCGAAAAATGGTCCTATGGGAAGTTCGGGAAGGCCAGAAAAAGGCCTGTTTTTGGCCTCCGGAGCCTAGGGAGGCTGTTTTCACCCTCCCAGAGGCTCAAAAAGAGCCTCCGGAGCCTGGGGAGAGCAAAAACTCCCCCTCCCACCGTGGTCCAGGCCACGCCCACCCAGCAACCGGGGAGAGGACCCCTTGCTAAAATTTTTGAAGCCCGCCCCTGCATGGTTTACTTTGGGCTCAGGCTGAGAAAATCACTGGGATTTTGTGAACTTCAGAAAAAAAGTCACCGCCTGAAACCTTGGTCCCGAAATCAAGCCCTTTTAGAAGTCCCGTTTTACTGAAAAACAAGAAAAGGTTTGAACCTCCTCGTTGCTTACACAGAATTGAAACCCGTGTGGGCAGTTCTTGAGAAGAATTTCAGATGAGTGGCTGTTTCTTGCTTTAGTTTCTTACACCAAGGAGAATAAAAAGGTGAAAAGAAAGTTACCCAAATGTGTTTATACGATACAGGAAATTCCTTAACCCTGATTGAACCCTACTCTTGCCTTGGTGTGGAAAACAAACAACCAAACAAAAAAACCCCAATACAACTCTGGTTAGCATGCAGCATTCAGAACAATCCATCAAAACGGCTCATGTCCTATTTCGCATCCCCCGCCAAGTCCAGCTTTGTTTAATCGTGGTTAGTTGAACCCACCATCGTTTGCAAAAGGCAAGGGGCTGGAATCGCACAACATGTCGAATCCAAAAATCAACGTTGCTGGAGAGCCTGAAGCAAAAGACTCCAAAAACTACAGGGAAGAAACAAAAGTTTTCAAATATCCGGATCGGCTTTGGAGAAAAGAGGAAGGAAACAGATGTCTGTCAAAGAAAAGAGAAACTAAGGCCTTCTTGGGAACCAGAATGTCAAAGAAAGTTTAAAAACTCATCCTTCACCAATGGGGAGGAGGGGTGGTTGAGATTTTCACACAACCCCCCCCCAAAACTTTGAATTACAGATTTTATTTTCCTGGGCTCCAAGATCACTGCAGATGGGGACTGCAGCCAAGAAATTAAAAGATGCTTGCTCTTGGGGAGGAAAGCCATGGCAAATCTAGACGTCTTACTAAAAAGCAGAGACATCACCCTGCCAACAAAAGTGCGTATAGTCCAGGCGATGGTTTTCCCAGTTGCAATGGATGGCTGTGAAAGTTGGACCATAAGGAAGGCTGAGCGCCAAAGAATGGAGGCCCTTGAACTCTGGTGCTGGAGAAGACTCCTGCGAGTCCCTTGGACTGCAAGGCGATCCAACCGGTCAGTCCTAGAGGAGATCAACCCTGACTGCTCTTTAGAAGGCCAGATCCTGAAGAGGAAACTCAAATCCTTTGGCCACCTAATGAGAAGGAAGGAAGGACTCCCTGGAGAAGAGCCTAATGCTGGGAACGATGGAGGGCAAAAGGAGAAGAAGGGGACGGCAGAGAACGAGGTGGCTGGATGGAGTCACTGAAGCAGTCGGCGTGAGCTTAAATGGACTCCAGAGGATGGTAGAGGACAGGAAGGCCTGGAGGAACGTGGTCCATGGGGTCGCGATGGGTCGGACACGACTTCGCAACTAACAAAACAAAACTTTGAATTTCCAACTTGCCAAAAACTAGGTTCTCATAAGGTAGGTAGCGTCAAAGGACTACAAAGCACCCACATTTCTATCTGTGTCACCCAATGATTACCATCCAGGAATTTTTTGGGAATTCTGAAAGGTGAATCCAGAGAGGTGAAAACTTTCAATCGGATTCACAAGCCGCTGTGGAGACGGGAGAGGGGGGGATGGAGGGGGATGGATGGACTTCTTGGTGATGGCTCCCCCCCCCCAGGTTCACGGCCAGGTTTATGGCCCTCTTCCCTCTCAGGTGCCACAAAAACCACAAGTGTCCAGTATTCAAAAATTTTCGCACGGAACAGGCCTTGTTTGCATCTGCTGCTTTTTGTCCCCATTAAGGTTTCCAAACAGCGGAAGAAAAAGTCCATTTTGCTTTACGGAGAAAAGAGCAACGAGGGCCAAAAAGCCTCCCTCCTTTTCTAGTATTATACAATTCCAGCCTCCGATTCACACCCTGGGATCCTCCATTCCTCTCCCAGCTAAGAAAAAGAAAGAAAGAAAAGAAATTGCTCTCAGATCCTTTGAGTTTTGGGTGGCAGCCAGCATTGGGTTTGCCCAGCGACGCTAAGAGAATCAGCTCTGACGCATTTATGGAACGGCGAGCTCAATTTCACCAGAAATGGAGGAAAAAAAAAAAAACACCTTTCAATCTGGCCTGAAGAGGTACAAAGGAAAATTAAAAAGCTGCCTGAAACCAAACATTAGCCGTGCCAATTTAAAAAAAAAATGCAACAACAGAAGAAAACACTTCCGGCTTTTATTTCGCTGCCAATATAAAAACGTTCCCCCGGTTTTGCAGGGGAACTGAGATAGGACAAATAGATTGCAGATCCGGAAGAATACAAGGTGGTTTCTTCCCCCAGATGGAAAAAAAAAAACTTTTTTTTTTAAAGAAAAAAACCCAAAGTGTTAAAATGCTCTGCCACCAGCATTAGTGCTATGCTCAAATACAACCTGGCTAATTAAGGGGGGAGAAAATTCAATGCCAATAAGAGTGCCAGCGAATCAGGTGATTTCAAGTTTTTACTTGAAAAGAACAAACTTGCAAGCTTTAACCGATTAAAGCTGGATCTCAGCGCTCAGGCAAAGCTGGTCTGTTATTTTTCGAGGATTTCTTTGGAGAAACCGGCCAGAGATTTTAACCCGGGACGGGCTCGGTTTCATTCTGCACGAATGATTCCTACAAAATGTGGGCGATCAGAAGGTGAAGGAGGAATCTGGGCTTGGTTGCTGGATCCAATCTCTACTCCTACTGAGTTTCCAAAACGTTGTACAGATAGTTTGCGACTTACGACCACAATTGAGCCCAAAATTTTCTGACGCTAAGTGAAAGATTTGTTAAGGGAGCTTTGCTGCATTTTAGGACCTTCCTTGCCAAAGTCCTTAAGTTAGGAACATGGTTGTTAAACGAATCTGGCTTCCCTCATCAGAAGATCGCAAAAGGGGATCACATGACCCCAGGATACCGTGACAGTCATAAATAAGAGTCAGTGGCCAGGCATCCGAATTTTGATTACATGACCATGGGGATCCATGCTGCAATGGTTGTAGGTGTGAAAAATGGTGGTAAGTCCGTATTTCAGCGCCGTTATAACTTTGAAGAGTTTACTAAAGGAACTGTTGTAATTTGACGACTAGCTGTATTTGCATTTGAAAGGAACTCACCAAGCAGGATGCCACGCACTAAATAAATTAATAAATCTCTAAGCAGGTCATATAACTTAAAAAGTAAACAAGGGAATTAAATGTCCTCCTTCTGCTGGATCGGTATCTGAAAGGCAGCCTTAAATAAATTTCAATAAAATGTTGATAGCAAGAGAACTCAATTGGAAGTTGATGAGGATGATGATGATGATTGGAAAAAGCAAACTCTTTTGTCCCTGAAAAATAAAACTTGAGAGTTCAACTGGAGCCATTTTAAAGTCTCGTATTATTAACCTTTCATAGCTACTGAATCACCTATCTCATGATGCACAGCAGGATGCTATTGGAGAAGGCCGGAAGAGAAGGCTATTCTTTGTTTAATTCTGTTGGCTGACTAATGGACAGCAGGTGTTCTCACACAACGCAGCAACCAGCTAAGTTACAAGGGTCTTCAAACTTGGCAAGTTTAAGACTTGTGGACTTCAACTCCCAGAATTCCTGAGCTGACATGAATGGAGGAGGAATTCTGGGAGTTGAAGTCCACAAGTCTTAAAACTGTCAAGCGTGAAGACCCTTGAGCTAAGAGAAAACGTATAGAAAACGGTCATAAATGCAAGCCAGTTGAAGTTTGCTAATGTAACATTAGCAATTAGAAGGAAGGAAGAATCAGAGTATTACAAGATATGGGGGCAATTTTATCAATGGATAGAGACTGAATATAGACAATAGGCAATAGGGGAAAATATGCTGCAATACATTAAATTTAAATGTAAAAGGAAAGATAAATATGTACTAAGAAAATGATGATAAACGTTGAATATGATGACACCAAAAAAATTTTTTTGTACCCAGATGTTACACTGATTAATGATGAATTGTTTGTTTAAAAATAAAAATTTCTCTCAAATAAACAAACAAATAAATAAATGCAAGCCCATTGCCAAATGACCAGATTGCAATCACTTGGGGCAGTGGTCGTAAGTGTGAGGACCAAGTCCGAAGTCACTTTTTTCCCCCCAGCACCATCGTAACTTTGAATGGTGGCTAAATGTATGGACAATAAAAGAAATTCATGCGAATGTTTCACACATCGTGTTAAGCCTTCATAATGCCCTTTCGTTTAGGGGGGGGATCGGGTGTTACCGCATAAGGAAATTGATGCACTCAATCAATGGTGGTTTATTCCATCGTCCGCGGGTTAAATAAACCAAGCTAAGGGCGATGTATGAACGCAGCCGTTGACGCTTGAGAGTATCCTTAAGCCAAGAAAGCTGCAAGTTTTGACAACAGAAGGGAGGGGGTTTATACTCTTAGCGCCTTCTGAGGCCAAAACTCTTGTTAGGACAAACAGTCCTAAATATACAAAAAGGAAGAGAGGTTTTTTTTGAAGCGCCGTTTCCCCTTTTTGTCAAACGCTAAAAGCTCTCATTCAGAAATCGTATCCTGCCCCGTTGGCTCAAAACTTGGCAAATCCTACACAGGAATCACAATAACTTAATTTTTTTTTTTAAAAAAAGGGAATTAAACCTCCAGTGAAAGTCAGCTGCCTTCAGAACAAAAGAAATACTGCTTGCAAGCTAGAAAGCTTCTTTTGAACGCTTGGAGGGGTGGGAAAAAAAAACCAGGACTGCATTTTAAAACACTGGCTGCTCTTAAGATAGATGGAGGGGCTTCTCCAGGGCAGGCTGGAATTTATTCCCCGTCTCCCAGAATCAAATCAGATGTAAAATGGGCTGAACCGTTAACTGTTAACTGAATAGTTTTGGCTACGCCGCTACGCCTTTGGGCTCAACCTGGCTTAAACCAAACCATTCCCTTCTCAGAAATTTTAACAGCAAGCCAACATCACTGTGAAAATGTCAAATTCACCACGAATCTACACAGACAACACATTATGCCCTTTGTGTCCCGATCACAGTACAGGTGGTCCTCAGCTTATGACCCACAATTGAGCCCAACATTTCTGTGGCTGAGTAAGATGTTCGTTCCATGAGTTTGGCCTCATTTTACGACCTTTCGTAAAAAGGCTGTTTTAACTTCGGGCACTAAATGAACCTTCGTTAAGTCAAGGACTATCTGTACACTTGAGGACTTCATCGCAACACAACGGAACAAAATGTTGCTTTTTCTGGCCAAGACCTGTTTAACTTTAAACATATTTGAATCGTGAGTTTTATATATTAGGTCGTAGAAATATGCTTGAATTTTAATTTTACATTAATTTTAAAATTAAAATTTAATTTGCGATGCTTCTGACACAAATAAAACAAACCCTGAATCTAAGATGCAAAGTTTTGCAGACAAGAGACATTCGACACCTGTATTTTAAAGCCAGAAACCAGGTTTGCCAAATTGATTTTTGTGGACATGAATGCCACATTTTTAATTTGGGGGGGGTATGGACAGTGCCTTCAACCATGGCTCAATTATTTGCTCTGGATGTTCTCATTGCTTTGTTTCTGCAAGAAAGCACTGGAGTGGGGAAATCATTCAATGTAGCACTTGCAAAGAAAATAAACAACCTCTGGGCCCAAACACTTTGCAATGGGTTGGGGGAAGGTAGCCTACCCCCACCCAAAGCATCTTCTGCATCTGGAAACTCCAACTCCCAGAATTCCCCAGTCAAGCATCTCTTCTGCTGAGCATGCTGGGAAATGATATTGCCACATCTCCTCCCCTTGAGATTCCCAGCTTTGATGGGAAGAGCCAAAAAACCCATTTAGTGGGATGAGGGCCAGCTTGGCAGTCATGGTTAAGTAAATTTTGATGCTGTGAGGATTCACACTCAGAACCAGTCGAGGCTGGCCTAGAAACCAGATGATGATTTAGACATGAAAGCCAGCTGAGTGACTTTGGACCAATCTTTCTCTCTCTTTTTCAGCCCAGCCCACCTCACAGGGTTGTTGTTGAAGGGGGAATGATAGAAGGAGAGAGGAGGGCCAGTATGTTTGTTTACCAACCATCCATCACTTATAAACAACAAAATAATCATTTTAACATCCTAAGCTGCCCAGAGTCACCTTGCTGCTGAGATGGGCAGCAAATCAATTTCATAAAGAAATAAAAATACCGATTAGACGGATCGATCTTTATAGAAATGCCTTGTTCATATTATTATGAAAAAAAACACAATAAGTTGTGATTTGACCTCAATGCCTTATTTTACTGCAACAGAAAACTATGTTTCTTTTCCTTTTTCTCTTATCCTTCCTCCCCACCGTTTTCCCTATTCGCTTTCCTATTTTGTATCTTATTTTAATCGGATAATAATAACCCAATAAAATGATAATAACCCAATAAAAAAGGGGAAACGGGGGAAAAATAAAGAAAGAAAGAACAGCCAAAGCAGGGAGAGCGGCTCTAACCTGAATGAAAGACTCCCAAGGCGGATTGCGGGGAAGCAGAAAACTTCAAGGGGGAAGTTTTGCAACCGACGCTAACGGAGAGCGGCGTTTGCAAGCCCCGGACAGAGAGACAGAGAGGGGGGAGAGCCCGGTGGCCAACGCCGGAGGCGCGTGCATTCTTCTGCACGTGCGAAAGAGCCCCCCGCGGGGAAGGAGGCGGAGGGGCCCACTCGGGACCAGAGAGGATGCCTGCATGCAAGGGGAACCGGGGCCGAAGTGGGCAATCGGGACCCGCGGAGTTCCCGGTTCTGACGTTCTGCAGGAGCGGGGCTGAGCCTGGACCCCTTCCCCTAATTTTGCACGCGTTCACAGCCCACCCACTCCCGCCGGAGCCGCTTTGCAGCCCCCTCCCATAATTCACGGATACCTCCCCCTCCCCAAAACCCCCTCCGACCCCTCCCTCCGCGGAGGGGCAGGTCGTCCCCCCCCCCAAGCAGAAGAGGGGGGGGGGTCTTCCGCCCAGGCGCTTCTGCAACAGCCCCCCCACGACCCCCTGGCCCATCGTCCCCAGCCCAGACGTTTCTGCAAGCGCCCCCCCCGGCCCTTCCGCGACTCCCTGCCCCATCGTCCCCAGCCCAGACGTTTCTACAAGCGCCCCCCCGGCCCCTCCGCGACCCCCTGGCCCATCGTACCCAGCCCAGACGTTTCTACAAGCGCCCCCCCCCCCTCCGCGACTCCCTGGCCCATCGTCCCCAGCCCAGACGTTTCTACAAGCGCCCCCCCCGGCCCCCCCACGACCCCCTGGCCCATCGTTCCCAGCCCAGACGTTTCTGCAAGCGCCCCCCCCGGCCCTTCCGCGACCCCCTGGCCCATCGTCCCCAGCCCAGACGTTTTTGCAAGCGCCCCCCCCCCCGGCCCCTTCCCCCCCAGTCTCCCCGCTCACCATGGCGAAGCCGGAGAGGAGCGCCGAGGTGCGGCTGGAGGCTTTGAGCTTGGCCCGGCTAAGGTAGAGCTTCCGCCAGGACAGCGCCTGCATGGAGTGCTCGTTGAGGCTCATCGGGCGCCCTCAGCCCCGCCGGGCCGTCGCCCCCGCCTCGCCTGCCGCTCAGCTCCGCCGCCCGCCCGCCCGCCTGCTCCCTTGCCTGCCTGCCAGCCGCCCGTCCGCGCCGCCCCCGGGGCCGGGCCAGCGCCGGATATGGGACGCCCGCCTCTCCGAGGGACGCCCGCCCAAGACCCCGCCCGGCCCGGGGCGACCCCCGCGCGGAGAGCCCTGGGCCGGCGCCAGCTGGGCCGACTCTCAAGTCCCAGGAGGCTCGGCCGGGGATTCTGGGAGTTGAAGTCCAGCCATCTGGAAGACCCTCCCCAGCTAATCAGATTGGGGGTCCTCCGTGCTCTCTTGAGCTTGGGAGACGTTTCCTGACCCTACTAGCGAACATCGTCAGTGCTTTAATGAAGGGAGGTTTGAGGAAGAGGAAGAAGGGGGAGGAGGAGGGTGACTGAAGGTGTGTGTGTGGGGAGGTCCTTGGTGCTTTCTTAGCCTGGGTGTTTTCTTGCTGACGTTTCAATTGGGTGACATCAGTGCTAGAAGGTGGAAAACCCCACTCCCTTCTGACACTGATGATGTTCCCTAGTTGGGTCATGAAACGCCTACAAGAAAATAAGCACCAAGAACCCCTCATACCAGAGCCTTGGTACTACAGTGGTTTAAAGCACCCTGTTATTAACACAGCTGCCTGCAATTTACTGCTGGTTCAAATCTCTCCAAGGCTCAAGGTTGACTCAGCCTTCCATCCTTTCTAAGGTAGGTTAAATGAGGACCCAGTTTGTGGGGCAATAAGCTGACTTTGTAAATATATACAAAAGTATGAAGGCTATTGCTTAACGCACTGTAAGCCACCCTGAGTCTCCGGAGAAGGGCGGCATATAAATCAAATAAAAAAAAAAAAAAAATTCAATTTTGAGCTACAAATCTTTTGCTTTATTTATTAAGTCCAATTTATATTTATTAAGTCCAATTTATATTTATTAAGTCCAATTTATATTTATTTGTCCAATTTATATTTATTTGTCCAATTTATATGCCGCCCTTCTCCGTAGACTCAGGGCGGCTTACAATGCATTATAGCAATAGCCTGCATACTTTTTTTTTGTATATACCTGCTTATTAGGTTTTCGCCCCCCCCCAAGCGGCGGTGTTCTAATACAAAGTCGGCTTCTTGCCCCCACAATCCGGGTCCTCAATTTACCTACCTCGCAAGGGTTGGAAGGCTGAGTCAACCTTGAGCCTGGTGAGATTCAAACTCGCAGTAATTGCAGGCAGCTGGCAGCTAAGTGCTAGCACTTAACAGCACTTTAGTCCGCTGCACCACCGAGGCTTTATTGGTGGTAGAAGGAAACCTCCCGCAGAGTAACCAGAATGGGCTACAAGGTTTCCTCGGTGTGAATTTTGTGGCGGCCAATGCAACTTTTAAGTTTGTGCCAATCGTGGTTTATGGAATGCAATGGGTTTTATGGGACGCAGGTTGGGTTTTGTCAACCGAGGTGGGCTCCATCCCCAGGTGGTTCTTACTATTACAGTTACTAGTATGATATTTGCTGTCCATCTCATTTCCAAGCCAGGGTATCTGGGCTCTCTAGCGACGGTTAAGGTGCTTTAGAGAGGAGGAATGCCTGGATCAATGATTTTGGGCAGAGATGAGGTCCAGGCGGGGGTCTCCAGGAAAGGGGCCTGGTGGCGCAGCTGTTATTAACATTCAGCTGCCTGCAATTACTGCAAGTTCGAATCTCGCCAGGCTCAAGGTTGACTCAGCCTTCCATCCTTTCTAAGGTAGGTAATATGAGGACCCAGTTTGTGGGGGCAATAAGCTGACTTTGTATAAATATATACAAAAAGATGAAGGCTATTGCTTAGCACATTGTAAGCCGCCCTGAGTCTTCGGAGAAGGGCGGCATATAAATCAAATTAAAAAAAAAAAAAGGTTTCATGGCAACTCGGGGAGCGAAACTTCCGTGGGATACCCTGGATCCACGCTGGAAAGCTCTCCACTCCCAATCCAATTTTGGACCAGTCCCAGTAAGTGGGAGGGATGATCCATCCGGGTCGTCCGAGGACACCCGTTTTCCCTTGGCCAAGGCGGCTGCCAAGCCACGCGGGTCCTCTTCGCCCACCCAAGCCCACCGCCCAGAGAGTCCCGAAGGCAGGCCGGCCCACCCGCGCCTCTGAGCTCGCCACGCTCCACTCCCCACCCCCCCATCCCCGCATCACCCCCGCAAGATGCAAGTCCCAGCTCGGGTGGGCCACCCACCCACGGGGGTTTGTCCCCCTTCCGCGTCTGCACTGGCTCCGGACAGGAGGAGGAGGAGGAGGAGGAGGAGGCGAGGATCGCCAGCCCAGGAAGAGGCGGCGACGCTTGGGCCCCCCAGCCTCCGGCTTCCTCTTCCTGCGGCCTCCAGCGGCTCTCTGCCAGCCCCCCACTCCCCTCCCCACTCCACGCGCGACAAGTCAAAGGCGCCCTGCAAGGAGAGCCGCTGCTTCTCCAACGCTCCAACGCGGAGATTCCTTCCACCGATCAGTCCCCCCCCCCCCCCACCCGAAGGAAGAAAAAAAAAAGCCACTCCCCCCAGTCGTGCGTGCATGCACGCGCGTGCACTCGACTTCTCTCCCCCCCCCCACTTTTGCAAGGCCAGTTGCAGCGCCTGCGCGCTGGGGGAGACTCGTGATCCGACCACAACACCCGATCTCTTCTCTTTCCCCCCCCCCACACCCCACCAATCCCCGCGCGCGCTTTCCCAGCCTGTGCGCCCCCCGAGGAGGTCTAGCGATCCTGAGCGGCCAAGATCCGGGATTTCCCTTTGCTCTCCCCCCACCCCCCATTCCTCTCCCCTCCCACCAAGCCACCCCTTCACTCCCCCCGCCCCACTGTTTATGTTCCGGGGACTCGCGTGACGCCTCTGCGCGCCCCCTCCTCTCTTTTCCCCCCCCCCTCCCCTTTGCACGCCGAAAGGCTGGGAGGAAAAAAAAAAAAAAAGGAATTCTTTGCGGGACTTTTTGCATAAGAAAACCGAGGCCACCTCCTTGCCCCCCCCCACCCGGGAGGGGGGGGCGGAAAGCCAAAAGCAAAAGAACAAACAAACAAACACAAAAGCGGGAGGGGGGGCAACATAAAGCATCGCCCACCCCCTTCCCCTCCTCCTCCGTCTGCCCCCCCCGCTGAGCGATCCTTTGCTTTCGGAGCTGCTTGGCCCCCCCTCCCTCTCTGGCCTTCCCGCCCCCCCACGCCCCCTCCCGCCTCTAAAAGAAAGTGTTGATCGCCCGGGGGGGGGAGAGCCAAACTTTAGAGAGAGGGAGAGGGAGAGAGAGACCCGGATGGCCTTTTGCAACCCTCGCGGGGGGGCGAGAGGCGGCTTTTTTTGTCGGGAATTGGATTATTTGGGAAGCCTCTAAATTGGAGGGGAGGGGAGGGAGGAAGAGGAGGGGGAGGCGGGGGAATTTTCCGGGGTTTCCTCTCTCTCTCTCGCGGTTCCCCCCCCCCGTCCCAGTTTTGGGGCCCAGCCCGGCAGGAACCCCCCCCCCTCCGACCTCTGCAGCAGGACCCAAAGGAGGAACTGTTGACTCTCTAAAGAGATGAAAGTGTTCAGATCATGGAGGCAGAAAGAGGCTCGCCCAGGAGACTGGTGTGTACTTTCTCGGCTCGGCTGGGGAGGGGTGGGGAGGGGGAAAAAGGGAGGCCAGATCCAGGAGAGGAAAGATCCCCCCCACCCCCGGGTTTCCCGCAGGTCTGGGGTGGGGGGGTGGGCGCGATTCGGGGCTTGCCTGCGCGCCGGCTGGGCATTTAAACCAGCCGCGGGGAGATCCTGGCTTTGCTACCGGCGGGGGGGGGGTTGGGTTTGGGGGTGGGTTGCTAGGAAGGAGAGCGAGAAAAAGAGAGAGGAGGGGAGGCTCGTTGCGTGGACCCCCCTTCCCTCCCCTCCCCTCCCGCCGCTGCGCCCGATCCTACGGCGGAGGGGCGCGCAAGTGGCGTCCCCACATTGCAGCGCTGTTTTTTTCCGCCTTGTTTTGGATGGGGTGGGGGTGGGGGGGGGAAACCTGGGCCTCGCCTCTGCTGCTTTGGGTGGGGAGGGGAGGCGAGGCGGCTTAACTCTTTCCTAACTCCCCTTCTCTCCTCCCCCTCCCCCGACCCACTTTCCCCCATCCCCACAGATCGGTCCCGGTGGGCAGAAAAGACCCCCACCCACCCAAAACTTCCGCGTTGGGCGCCGGGGAAGCCCAGCCTGGCTTGGAGAGGCGCGATGCGCGTGTTTGGAAGCGGGGTGGGTGGGTGGGTGGGACGGGGCGACACGGGGAAAGGGACCCCCGGTGGGTTTGGCGGAGGGGGGAGGGGGCCGGTGCGGGCGGGGACCCCCGTGTTACATAACGCCGTGTGCTTTTTTTAAAAGGCCGGCTTCCGGTATGACTCGGGCAGCCTGCGCGGCTTCTCCTGCTACGTAAACCGGGCTGGCTTGTTGGTGTTTTTCCGTTGCTAAGGGAGAGAGAGAGAGAGAGAGAGAGAGAGTGGTCGTGGGAACGGGGGCAAGAGAAGCCTCCCGGGGGTCTCCCGCAGCCAAAGGCAGGAGGAGCCCACTCCGCAGGGTTGCGTGCAATAACTCGGCTTGGTATCCACTTCACCTCACCCCACTCCCGAGTCGAGAAGCACCCGGGCAAAGCCTTCACACGCACAACCCGACACGGGTTTGGGCACGTAGGTGCGGGGTGGGGAGAACAGGGCTCGGGCTAACCCAGCGCAAAGAGTGTGGGGGGGCGCTGCTCCCCTTTCCACCCCCCGTCCCCCCCCTGCCTGCCTGCCTGCCTGCCTTCCCCAGCGCGGCGCCCGCGGGCCCCCATCCCGGCTCCCCCAGCGACGCGCCCCTTGGCCTTGTCTGCCCTTCCCGTGCAGCGCTGCATCGGCCGGCGGCTCTACGACGAGAACGAGGACCTGTCCGACGTGGAGGAGATCGTCAGCGTGCGCGGCTTCAACCTGGACGAGAAGCTGAGGAGCCGTAGCTACCGCGGGGACTTCGTGCGGCCCATGGACGGCCAAGGTGAGCCCGGCTGACTCCCACGTGCCGCCCGCCTCCCCGGCTTCGTATTTCCCGCCGGGGATCCGGTGACGCCGCTGAGGCTGGACTGGGGGGGAAGCGGCTGAGGCGCGCTTCGAACCCGGGAAGCGGAGCCGCTCTTCCCGCCCGCCTCCCCCCCTCCCGCCCTGGACTGAGGGGGCCCTGTCGCCCCCTCCCCACTTGGGCCCTTGCCCCCCTTTTTTAATTCCCCTCTTGGAGAGGGGTCGCCTCAGGCCCGACTGGATGCCCACCTTCCCCTTGACCCTGACTTTCCTGGCTGCCCCCAGCTCCAAAAAGAACCCCCCCTCACGTCTGAACTGAGGGAAAGAGTGAGGGTCTCTCTTCAGGTGGGCATCCAGAGAAAATCGAGACACTTTTCCCTTCCCCCCCGTCCTCCAAGGACCCACCTGAGAGAGCGCTGAGGACTCCGCGGCCCATTTTCCCCCCTCAGACTTGAGGGTTAGCCGTCACCTAGGGAGAGTGATGGGCTTTGTAGTCTGGGGTCCGGGGGCTTTTCAGGCATGGGACCGTTTCTGAGAGCGGGTGTTCCAGACGGGCTGGGCTTGGGCCCGGCTGGGGATGATGGGTTTTAGCCTTGGGCTCGGCTGGGGATGGTGGGCTGGGTCCTTGGGCCCAGTTGGAGAGGGTGGGCTTGGGCCTTGGGCCCAGCTAGGGTTGGTGGGCTTTAGCCTTGGGCCCAATTGGGGATGGTGGGCTTGGGCCCGGCTGGGGATGGTGGGCGTTGTAGTGCCAAATAACTGGAGAAGCTAGAACTGGATGATTAATTTGTTTTCTGGGGTCTCTTATAGCTTATATGAACTGCTTTTCAATGGACATTTTAAGTACATTTCCCCAAAAAGAGTCCTCAGTCCGTTTATTGGGTCTAGCTCCCTGCTGAACGTTCTTAGGATTTTGAGGAGGTTTTTTTCTGAACAAAATCAGCTTTTAAAAAAACATTTAACTTGGGTTTCCATTGATTGAGCCTTCATTAACCTTTGAGCAATTGCCGATTAAAATGTAATTCAGGGAAAAGACGGTCAAAAGCTTAGTGGCATCTTGAACTCAAATCTCCTTTGCTGGTTAGCCTTGAGTCTGTTCCCCTTGGGTGGTAGCAGCCTAAGCTACCTCGCAGGATTGTTGTGAAGAGGGAAACCCAGAGGCACAGAGTTGTTAGGATGGGGAACAAAGCTAGCCCACAAAGCTTGACATCTTTTGGAAGGAGAGGATACAACGTGACACATGAATATAATCTTCAAATATTGCTCATATAATTCCTTGTGTGTCCAATCACACTTAGCCAATAAAGAATTCTATTCTATTCTAAAAAAAAAACTCAGCGTGAAGAAAATGTAAAATGACAGGACCAGCACTAAAAAAAAAAACCTGTTTTAAACCGTACATGTATTGTTTCGTTTACTCTGCTGAAGGAAGTAGGATTAGGAAGGATGTTAGAAGAGCTGTGCTTTGAAAAAGTAACCTCTGTGTCTTGAGTTCAAAGTTGCTAAGTTAAAAGCAAAGAACATTATGACTACAGCTCAACACCTACTCTTAAGAAATGTTGATTTCTATTTGTCATCCTTGCAAAGTTGGGGGAAGCGTTGATTGCTTGATTCGTTTAACAACGGTTCCATTTAGCAGCCATGGCAAAAAAAAAAAACTCAGAAAATTGGGTGTGCAGTTCCCTTAAGCCTTGCTTAGCAACAGAAATTTTGATTCCACTTATGGTCGTAAATTGAGGGCTATCTCTATTTGTCAGTCTTTTTTTTTGTTTGTTTGTTTTTAACAGCTGAAATCTTACAACTGATCTGTCTCTGACCTCCTCGCCTTTTTTTCCTTCCAGATTTCACTTTTGAATACGTGCAGCAGGAAGCGCTAAAAGTGCCTCTCATCTTCCGAAGTAAGACTGGACTGGGAATTAAGTAAGACCACTCTACTCTTAATCTATATCATCCTGTGTCTTTTATCTCAGGGGTCTCCAACCTTGGCAACTTTAAGCCTGGCGGACTTCAACTCCCAGAATTCCTCAGCCAGCTTTGCTTGTTGAAGTCCGCCAGGCTTAAAGTTGCCAAGGTTGGAGACCCCTGTTTTATCTAGTCTTGTAATCAAGCTGGGATATATGATAGGATAAATGGTGGGTTTTCAACTGTGGCATAGCCCCTTATCTTGAGGAAAGATGCTATGGAAGAAAATATTATTATTTATTATATAGCTGCCCAAGTCATACATGTTGTTGTTGTTAGTTGCGAAGTCATGTCTGACCCATCGCAACCCCATGGACAATGTTCCTCCAGGCCTTCCTGTCCTCTACCATCCCCTGGAGTCCATTTAAGCTCACACCAACTGCTTCGGTGATTCCATCCAGCCACTTCGTTCTCTGCCGTCCCCTTCTTCTTCTTTTGCCCTCCATCTTCCCCAGAATTAGGCTCTTCTCCAAGGAGTCCTTCCTTCTCATTAGGTGGCCAAAGGGTTTGAGTTTCCTCTTCAGGATCTGGCCTTCTAAAGAGCAGTCGGGGTTGATCTCCTCTAGGACTGACCGGTTTCATGGCCTTGCAGTCCAAGGGACTCGCAGGAGTCTTCTCCAGCACCATCGTTCAAAGGCCTCTCAATTCTTTGGTGCTCAGCTTACATACATAGGTGACTTTTATTCTTCCTACGAAGAATAGGTTTGCAGTCTGGCTAGGAATTGGGGACCTTGGAAAACTAATTCTATGAACGTAACTGGTTCTAAGATCCTGGATAGCTATTCAGACATCACCCCCCTCTCCTTCTAAAGATGATCCTTGGGATAATTCAAGGTCTCTGATCATTTTTTTGTATTTTCAGTTGGCAAATGAGTGAGGGGGAAAAAACGAGGGTTTTAAATGTTGTCCTGGCGGCTGCTGCTTAGCCAGGGATGGTCTGTTGTTGTGATGATTGTGACTCTCTTAATTTGCATTTAATTTAATCCCTTCGCCTTGGATCATTTCAGGATGCCCGACCCCAACTTCACTGCCCAAGACGCTAAGATGCTCGTGGGTAAGTTTCGATGCCTCTTTCCATAATGCAGAAATGATGCAGTAAGATTTGAGGTTTTTTTTTTAAATAAAAACAAACAGGGTATTATGCATAAACTACACAAGAGAGAGGCTGCTAAACCAAGAATATATAACCAAGGTTGCAGACTGAAGTTGCATCTAAATCTGTATTTTGCAGAATTGAGCCATGTCTGAGAACTGAAAATTAGTGGAAACTTTGGTAGCTAAAGTCTCCACACATCTGCTTGCTCCTTGTTCAGGGGAAAATACTGATTAAAAATTAAATTTGAATATGAAATCTTGCTGTTATTCTAAAATAAAGCCAGTTTAATAACCGATTCTCAAACTTATCCTGGGAAACCTGTGGGGTGTTCTAGAATAATGAGAAATAGCCAGTTTGAGTAGCTCTGATTCCCACCATAGTTGGAATTTTCTCGTGTGTCAGACTTCGATGCTATCGTATTTACTAGGAATAAAATCTGCCATATTTTCTCACCAACCTTCCTTTTCCAAACTCTCCCAGGGAGCCGCCGAATTGTGGACGTGGTGGATGTGAACACCCAAAAAGGTGTTGAAATGAGCATGGCTCAATTTGTGCGTTATTATGAAACCCCCGAGGCAGAGCGTGAGAAGCTGTACAACATGATCAGCCTGGAATTCAGCCACACCAAACTAGCCAACATTGTCAAGCGTCCAAATGTCGTAAGTGGAGTTTCTAGCTGATGGCTGAAAACCTGGGGTCAATGAGAGCTTCCTAGTTGAGTTGGGGGTCAACAGGAGCATTCATAGTTGAGCTTGGGGATCAATGGGAGTTTCCCAGTTGAGCTTGGGGGTCAGTGAGAGCTTCCCAGTTGAGCTTGGGGAGTCAATGGGAGCATCCTAGTTGAGCTTGGGGGTCAATGGGCATCCTAGTTGAACTTGGGGGTCAATGGGAGCATCCTAGTTGAGCTTGGGGGTCAATGAGAGCTTCCTAGTTGAGTTGGGGGTCAACAGGAGCATCATAGTTGAGCTTGGGGATCAATGGGAGTTTCCTAGTTGAGCTTGGGGAGTCAATGAGAGCTTCCTAGTTGAGTTGGGGGTCAATGAGAGCTCTAGTTGAGTTGGGGGTCAACAGGAGCATCATAGTTGAGCTTGGGGAGTCAATGAGAGCTTCCTAGTTGAGCTTGGGATCAATGGGAGCATCCTAGTTGAGCTTGGGGGGGTCAATGAGAGCTTCCCAGTTGAGTTTGGAGGTCAATGAGAGCTTCCTAGTTGACCATCCTTAGCCAAGGGAACCGCTCTTTCCCTACCACTTCCTACCTTAACTCTGCTTTTGGTCTTTCCCAGGTGGATTTGGTTGACTGGGTGGACAACATGTGGCCGCGGCATTTAAAGGAAAGACAGACCGAGTCCACAAATGCCATTTCGGAGATGAAATATCCCAAAGTGAAAAAGTAAGTGGATTTTTTCTCCTAGATTTCCTGGCTAAATTATGATTAAAGCTAGGTGTGATGGGGTGTTGAGCCTAAATTCAGAGGAGCTTTTGTGCGTCTCTTGCTGAAAGTTTGGACGGTGCAGATATGTGTGGTTGTGACAATTAATGGTTGGGGTTTTTTGGAACTCTGATTTGGTGACAAGCAAAGGTGATAGGGAAGGACACGGCTGCCGCTATGTCACAGAGACGCAGACAAATAGGAAGGGACCTTGGCTGCGATCGGCTGAATTGTTGTGATGTCAGCAGGGCGAGCCAAAGACCTGGGTGTATGGTTCTGCCTGGCTTGTTGGTTTGTGTTTCTGTTGTTGTAAGCAGGTTGCCGGCAAAGGGTATCTATCCCCTGTTCTAATTGCTTTGTTGTGGATTTGGGATTTCCTTCTTACAAGACCATTTTTCCTTCTTACAAACTGGTTTCCTGTGGTTTTTTTTTTTTAAATTGCTACCACCGTGGGGATAAAGGCATTTCTTCCTTTCTTTTTTGCTCGCTTGCTTGTGTTTAACATGCTTTGCCAAGTAGGTCGCTCGGATGCTTTCTTAAACCTTGCAGCAAAAATGCTTGCGTGTCAGTATTAGCTGTGAGTTGGGAGTTTCGTAGATAACCATGTTAAAGGAACTATGCTGACTGTTGTTCTGAATTGCTTATAGAGGGAATAAAATGTTCAGGATAGGGAGCAGAAGAGAATAACAGGGTTGTAGGGGACCTTGGAGGTCTTCTAGTCCAGCCCCCTGCTCAGCCAGGAAACCCTGTACCATTTCAGACAAATTAGCATTATTAGCATTAGAATAGAATCAAAATAACAGAGTTGGAAGGGACCTTTCGAGGTCTTCTAGTCCAGCCCCCTGCTTAGGCAGGAAACCCTCTACCATTTCAGACAAATGGTTATCCAATCTCTTCTTAAAAGCCTCCAGTGTTGGAGCATTTGTTTAGTGACTGAAGTTACAGTGGCACTGAAAAAAATGGCCTGTGACTGTTTTTCACACTTATGACCATTACAAGCATCCCCATGGTTACGTGATCAACATTTAGACACTTGTCACCCGGCTTGTATTTGTGACGGTCGCTGCGTCCTGAGGTCACGTGACTTTCCCTTTTTGCGGCCTTCTAACAAGCAAAGTTCAATGGGGAAGCCAGATTCACTTAACAACCGTGGCAAGAAAGTTCGCAAAATGGGGCAAATTCCCTTAACGACTGTCTCGTTTAGCAACGTAAATTTTGGGTTCAATTGTGCTCGTAAGTTGAGGGCTACCTCTATTCAGATATCTGTCAGGGTGCCAAGTAACACCCCCCCATACAAAAGAAGAGTCTTGGTGGCGCAGCAGACTAAAGTGCTGTTAAGTAACACCAGCTGCCTGCAATTACTGCAAGTTCAAATCTCACCAGGCTCAAGGTTGACTCAGCCTTCCATCCTTCCGAGGTAGGGAAAAGGAGGACCCGGTTTGTGTGGGCAATAAGCTGACTTTGTATAAAATAGAACACCGTTTATGGGGGGCCGAAAGCCCTACTAAGCAGGTATATACAAAAGTATGAAGGCTATTGCTTAACGCATTGTAAGCCGCCCTGAGTCTCTGGAAAAGGGTGGCATGTAAATCGAACCAATAAATAAATAAATAAATATGACTCCGAGGCTTGACGTTCCTCAAAGTCCCATTTTATTAGAGATGTCATATTGGCACATCTGGGAAAACCTGAATCTGAGAGCTTCCATGTTTTCCCCACCCAAATGGAAGTCTAAGTCCCTTCCCCCCTGCACCCACATGTCTATCACATGGTCCAATCCAAGCACCGTCCCCACTGGAGATCCCTCCCAGTTCCAACCATCATATTCCATAGTTGGGTAATAAAACGTTGGCATAAAAACAACCAAGCTCAGGGAGCACCAAAGGAACCCTCATCTCTTTCAGGTGAAAGGAGATGAAAATGGAAAAAATAGTAAAGGTAAAGGTTCCCCTCGCACATACGTGCTGGTCGTTCCCGACTCTAGGGGGCGGTGCTCATCTCTGTTTCAAAACCAAAGAGCTAACGCTGTCTGAAGACGTCTCTGTGGTCATGTGGCCGGCATGACTCAACGCCAAAGGCGCATGGAACGCTGTTCCCTTCCCATCAAAGATGGTCCCTATTTTCCTACTTGCATTTTTTACCTGCTTTCGAACTGCTAGGTTGGCAGAAGCTGGGACAAGTCACGGGAGCTCACCCCATTATGTGGCACTAGGGATTCGAACCGCTGAACTGCCGACCTTTCGATCGACAAGCTCAGCATCACTGAGCCACTGCATCGCTTATGAAAAAATAGGGTTGTTAAATTTGAACACCCCTCCTCCACAGATTTAGATATTTAGCTGCACTTTGTTATACTAACGAAGGTCCCTGCATGATTTGAGTGAAAAACCCCATCCTTGGAAAGTTTTATATATTTTTTTAAAGTTTTTGCAAAACTCCAGTCCTGTGTTCTAGTTCGTAAGCGACCTTGATGGTAGCGATCTGGGGGAAATGCTCGGTGTTTAGTCACTCAGTCGAGGCTGGAAGAGATACGGCTATTTTTCAATGTGCGATGGATGCTGCAGCCAAGCAGAAGAAAATTGCGTGAGGATTGCCTGCTCAGAGCAAAATCGAGTGGGAGAGAGAGAAGGAGAGAGAGGGGCGGTAGAGAGAAGCAAGCAGCCGTCACGGTGACTTCTCTCTCCTTGCCTCCTCGGAGAGTAAACGAATTTCCCACTAAAATTCCATCTGTGCGGGGGGGTTTTTTGATCCAAGAGAGGGGCTCGCTGCCTCCTGACCCCAAAACCACAATCCCACCTCATCTGTGTGTTCACACACACACAACCAATTCTAGAGCAGATCTGCTCTGTTTTCTCTGGTTGTTTTTCCTATCCTGGCCCACCATTTTATCCCATGGATTCTCTAAGGGGGGTCTTTCCAAGCTTCCTGGTTAGCAGAGATTGTTTGATTTTTCTCTGTTCAGCTTGGCCAACTGCCCTCCTGCTGTCTCCCACCCCCCACACTTTGCGGGGGGGGGGGAACAAAGCCAATAGATAAGGTTGGGAAGAGATTATTTTTCCCTGGGGGTTGCAGTGTATGTATGTGTGTGTGATGGTGTGGGGAGAATATCTGTGCTATGATTTTTTGTGGCCTTAATTGCTTGGAATGCTTTGTGGATGATGGACAGTCCTTTTGCAAGCATCGGTTTATCTTTGAGTCCTTAAATCCTAAATGATAAGAGGACTTAAAACTGAAGGAAACTTCTGCAAAAGATGTTTGACCTTGAAAGCATTCACAATGGCCTTTTTTCCCCCCAAGTTTATTTCTGGGAGTTTTGAATGAACAGGTGTGGCTCTTTCTTGGCTGCAGGTGATTTACGAATACAACTTTGTAAGCTGGTAGAATAGAACGAGGGGTATTTGGACTGCATTCACAGAGCGAGCGATATCTTTGCAAGGTTGCGTCCGTGCGTTGGTGACAACGTGTGCTTGTTGAATCTATCGGGATGCAGCCGATAGAGGCTGTAGCTGACTTTTGGGGTCCCTTCTAAAAGCAGCTTCAAATCTGCGATGCCGCCCTGCACCATTCAGAACAGGCTGCTGTTAAAAGAGAAAGGCGTTTTTCTCTTCGAAAATCTAAAATTCTGATATTGTGATTGGAGAAAAGGAGCAAGGAATCCTCTTGTTATCCTCTCCGTTGTTATTTTATCTTCTCGTTTTGGCGTAAAATTCTCCACTCTTTTACACAAACACACACACACACACACACAGAGAGAGGTCTGTCTTTTGCATTGTTGCCTCTGGCTGCTTTTTACACCAATGTGCAAATGTTTGCTGTACAGTGACATCCGAATGAAAACAAATGAGTGTAGCTTTTTAGGGAATTAAAAAAAAAAAACGAGGCAAAGGACAGTTTTTAGCAGAGGCTCTAGCTGGGAATTTCCTCTCCCCTCCTATGCCATCAGGAAAAAACAAAACAAAAACCCACACACACCCCTCCCAAAATGTGAGAAGAAGCCCTCCCTTAAGCTATGCAAAGTGGCGTTTCATTGCCTTCTAATTTGGGAGCAATTAAAGGACAGAAAACGCCAGGTTTCCCCTCCCCTCCTAACAAGTTCAGTGCTGCCTCCGCCAGGCAAGCATCTTCGAAAATGCCACCATCGCTCATGGTTCTCAGCTCCTCCTTCCTTCCATTTCTTTTATGGTTATTTTTTTCCCACCCTCCCATTTTTTTCTCTCTACCATTTTCAGCATCTTCCACCATCGTTTTGGTGGACGGGGTGGGGAAGAGAAACCCAAAAACAAAACACAGGGGAGATGCTGAAATAGTCCGTGTCCCCGTTTAATATAAATGAAATGGAGCAAGCTCAGATCTCCCCCCACCCCACCCCAGGGAACCCCAAATTTCTGTTTATTCCAAAGATTGTGTCTACAAGGGTGGTTGGTGCTTGAGGGGTTCAGGAAGCTGGAGGTGAAATCTCTTTTTAAGTTTTATCTGTCTTTTCTCCCCCCCGGTATTTTTTTTTTTTTTAAACCGGAAGGCACATAGGAAGGGGCCTCTGGCTTGGAGAATGGGGTGGGGGGTGGGGGGCTGGAAAAGAAAGGGGTAGGGGGCCTCTTCCTCCCAAGATGGAGGCTTGAGCACATTTCGGGAGCCAAGTCCCTTAGAAAAAGTTAGGCATTCTGGGCTGTGGTGAGCAAACGAGACCACCCACCCATTAGCTGTCTGCCGGATTATCCATGCCGGAGAAGTCGGGTTGAATTCCTCCCCCACGTGACTCCAGCCTTACAGAGGAAGCCGTAGAGGTCAACACAAAGGCACCTCTCCAGAGTCTGCTTTGCGGAGAAAAAGCCTTCGCCTTTGCCCCCCTCCCCAATTTCCAAAGCCTTGGGCTTGGACGAGAGAACAACAACAGAATATCCTTCCTCAAAGACTCTTTCTAAAGATTTTTTTTCCCTAACTCCTCCTCCTCCTGCCTAAGGTTTCTTAGAAGCGGAGGTTGAGTTTTGGGGGGTTTTATGTGTGTGAAAGAAATGGATCCCTTAAGAAGAATGATCTTCTCCCTCTTATCGAGGCTTTCTTGGGGGGGTGTTGAAAACTTGCCGGAGTGGTGGTGGGGGGGAAGAGAAGAGAGCTTGTTTCAGAAGGAAGATTGAGTTGGACAAATCATGTCATCCATTCTGCAAGGATGAAAATGAGGATTCGTGCCTGGAAGAGAAGAGGGGGGGGGTGTTTGCAAGTAGGAAGGCTAAGCCCACTTTCTAGCCAGAGAGCCAAAGGCTTGAGCAACCCCCCTCCCTCTCCAAATCTTCAGAAACTGGGTTTTTGCAGTGCGTAGAAAGCTCCCTATCTGAACAACAATGCTTCGTATTTGAGATTGGATATAGGGGTGTGCATGCTTTCTGGATAACGCGGCTTAGCCTGCCTGCTACAGGAGGAAAAAGCCCCCTTTTTCTGCATCAATTCGTCCATTTAAAGGACATTCAGCTCAGGCTAAGAACACTGGGCCGGTTCAAGTCCCAGTTTTAAGTCTACGATATATGCAGATTTGTTCGTTTGTTTCCAGACATGTCCTCGGGATAAACTCCACGATATTCTCTCTCACACACACACACCCTTCCAGTCTCTACGCCATCATACTAGTGTTTTGTTTTAAAGAAAAATGATTCATATAATCCCAAATCCACCGAGGACCTTTCAGATATTCCCCCAACCCAGTGGCCGCTCGCATCCCAAGTTTGCTTTCTGCTTCCAAGTTTCTCGCGGGGGGGGGGGGAGGGCTGAAGCTCCCCAAACCAGCCCCTGAGTGGGTGTCACCGGACCTAGAGGAAGGGGGAGAAAGGGGGAAGAGGGGCTTAGGAGCCTGGGAGGAGGAGGAGGAGAGAAGGAAGGAGGACTTGTATTTTGAAAAGGGGCTGCTGCCGGAGGTCTAGGGAGGTGGAATCTTTCTTGTGTGCTCCTTGGATATTTTGCCCGCTTGGAAGGTTTAATGGCGCGCCAAGCGCCAGGGAGAAATTCCCGTGCCCAAAACCCAGACAAGGTAGGCTGTTTTGCAAGACAGAGGTTGAGTTGCAAAACCAAAATCTGAGTTCCCATCCCCCTTTCCCTTTCCCTCTCCCTTTCCTTCCTTCCTTCCCTCTCCCTCTCCCTCTCCCAACTCCCTCCCTCCCCCTCCCCACGCATTTACCATTTTCCCCATGACAGAAGCACTGCGTATCCCTGTCAACTCAAAGAGGTTGCTAGGCAGCTTGCCTTTTCCCTAACCCAAGACTTTCGGATCGCCAAGGGAAGCCTGGCAAAGGGCACCACCGTTCTCCCCCACCCCCACAGCCTCTCGCTGGGAGGATGCGGGCATCCACCTGGACAGTGTCGGAGGGGAGGGAAAACGGCGGGTGATTGGCGGGAGAAGGGAACCGGGCCAGCGGGGATGGCTCGGGAGTGCAGTCAGGGCACACACGCGGTCTGGTAGGGAAGGCGAAGGACACGCAGGGACAAATACACACACACACACACCCGTACGCTCCAGTTGAGATAACCAGCTACCGGAACCAGGAAAGGAGGTTAGTGTGTTAAGCCGTGCACATTTCCTGCGTCTCTTAAGGTGCCCGTAGCGGGCAGAAGGATGGGTCATGGGTGCTGAGTAGGAATGAGAGCAACCAGCCAAAAAGGAATGGTGGAAAACTGATTTTAAAGTCCTCCCAATCAGAGTTTTCAAAGGGAGAGAGAGAGAGGGAGGAATGGAGCACTTTCGCCTTCCAGTTCATCCAGGAGCTTTGCAAGCAAGGAGTTTTGCAAAATACTCGACCCATTAACAGTGTCAGGTTCAAGCAGAACTGTTCGTAAACTTTGCCCGTGGAAGGATTGGGAAGAAAAAGCCGTCCTTATTTTGCGGTTCCAAAGTCTAGCGGAGCGCGGGCTGAGAACAGAGAAACGGGGGCAGCCCACGTAGATGGCAAATTTAATTTCGGGCGGCCTCTCGGTGGTGTGCTCCCTTCAAGAAGGAGGGGGAGAGGTGCATTGCCTGGTTCGTGGTTTTTTTTTTTTTTTTCTCCCCTCCTTTCCCCCTGCAGCAGAAATCTCTCGGCTGTTTCTAAAATCCCACCCGGATAACAAATGGGAAAGCCTTATTAATTGGAGGAGGGGAGGGGGAGTCGTTTGCTGACGATGTGCACATTAGACGCGCCTTATCTCGGCGGGTTTTAAAGCGAGGGTCTCTCTTGCAGGTACTGTTTGATGAGCGTGAAAGGATGCTTCACCGATTTCCACATTGATTTCGGAGGTACTTCGGTGTGGTATCACGTTTTCCGGGGAGGAAAGGTAAGCGGAGTCTCCGCCGAAGGGCATCCTTTATAAAAAAAAAAATCCTCGTAAAGAATGGAGGGGGGGGGGGGCTCAATTTTTTTTTTCTTTTCAAAATAGGCTTCAGCAAGGGGAAAGGCAGCCGTGCTGTGTGCTGAATTTAAAATAGAATATTGGACATGCTCGTTTTGCTTCTTTTAAAAGATTTATGCATGTAAATGTGACGTATTATGCCTGCTGTTTTTTTTTTTTTCTCTCTCTCTGGGTCTAGATCTTTTGGCTGATTCCTCCAACGTTGCAGAACCTAGAACTTTACGAGGAGTGGGTTGTCTCTGGGAAGCAGAGTGATATTTTTCTGGGGGACCGCGTGGAGCTGTGCCAAAGAATCGAACTGAAACAAGGGCACACTTTCTTCATTCCTTCAGGTAAATTCCCTTTCGGAACAGGATCTGGTTTTTCAAGATCAACCCTTATTGGTGGGCAGCCATCATTAGATCCAGAAGAGCGATGGACTGGATAATGTGCCTTAACACCCTCACTGGGAGGAAATGATTGCATTAAAGCTGCACCCCATTCCATTGGTTCTGGACTTCTGCTTGCAATTTCCTTTTTCTGCTGATTATGGAAATGATCTAGCTCAGAGGTGTCCAACCTTAGCAACTTTTAAGACTTGTGGATTTCCAACTCCCAGAATTCCATAGCATGGCTGGCTTGGGAATTCTGGGAGATGAAGTCCACAAGTCTTAAAGCTGTTGAGTTTGAAGACCTTTGGCCTAGACCAACCAAAACTGAACCAACCCAGATAGAAGAGATGGTGACATTCAGCCAAAACCAGGAGAACACAGAAAACTGGCAAATCTGTTAAAATAATTCAATGGACTCAATTCTCTTTTGATGATCCAAGAATCTCTAAGGCTGGTCTGCCGTCCGAAGGATTAAAAATAGGGGGGGAAACTGCTTACCACATTAGTATCATGCCAGATAAGAAGCCCACAAGTCTTAAAGTTGTTAAGGTTGGACATCCCTGATCCCAGTGTTTTCTGTCTCTTTTGGTTGTTTCATGTTTTATAGCCTATTTTCAATGTTCCAATCCAGCGTTTGTGCTGCCTCAGTGGCTGAAGCTGAACAGAAAGAAGGGAACAGGGAAGGGAAGGGAAAGGAAGGGAAGGGAACAGAAGAGAAGAGAAGAGAAGAGAGAGAAGGGAAGGGAAGAGAAGAGAAGAGAAGAGAGAAGGGAAGGGAAGGGAAGGGAAGGGAAGGGAAGGGAACAGGCAGATCCTGAAGGAAAACACAGTTTTGTAGGCCAGATGAGAGCAGGATTTCATCCCCAGCGTGACTGTCTTTTGTGATGTGAATCCTTTCCTCTCTCCTCTACCTTTCTAGGGTGGATCCATGCCGTTTACACCCCAGTGGATTCCTTGGTGTTTGGTGGAAATATCTTGCATAGCTTTAATGTTCCCATGCAGCTTCGCATTTATGAAATTGAGGACAGAACAAGGGTAAGGACTTCCCAAAAATTTTTTTGTTTGACTTAAGGTATTGGATCATAAGTTTGTTCTACAGAAGGTACCAGGGCACCTTGGTGGTTCAAAGGAAACTTTGCTTGGTCTGCAAACGTTTGGGTTTAGGCATTCAGATATTTGGAGCGTAATGCTGCAATTTCAAAACCCCGAACTCAGTAAAGGCTGAGGTTCAAAACAGAGGAAGCTGGTGGAGAACTGGTCTTCCTTGGCTAACCAGTCAACAGTTTGGATGAACTTAATGGTTGGGTTCACCCACGGAGTTTAACAATGGCTTATTGCGTGATCACAACTGACGGCATTCTCGATCCTTCTGAGCCATACGTTCTAGTAGAACCAACCAGAATGGCTTAACGTATCCTGCTAAGCCATAAACTATGATTTACAAACCACGATGGCTGAGAATGTACCCTCCATCACGTTGTCAGGGTGGAGAGGTTTGTTGCCTTAATGGGTTCTGCAATCTCAGCTTATTCCATCTCATTAACCAACCAGGTTTAACACAACTGTGGCTTGCCATAGCACATGGGAATCTAATTCTCCTTGAAGTTAATAAGTGCAAGTTTTCACAGCCTGGCTTCTGTTCTTGTGGGGAGGGGGAAATCGGAATTCTGACAAATTCCCAGATTTTCAGGGAAATATTGGTCTTTATAGGGTTTTTGACAACTTAATAAGCACTTTTCTCGGTCCCCAGGAAAGTGGCTACTTTGGGCATCACGCCGTAGAGCTAAAGAATGCTCTTGAAGCAGCTTCAGCGATTTGCTTTGAGATGATGTAGAATTGAGAGATTTGATTTGGGGATGGGTCCCCCTCATCTGGAATTCTGGATTGTCTCTAAATCCAGGGTTGCAGACCGTGTCAGCTGCTTGCATTTCCCAATGCAGTCATAAATATAATGAGTCTGTTTGCTTTCAGCCTCTTCTTGAATGCCCACGACAAGAACCTGGTTAAGTCAACCAGGTTTACTCAAGTCAGTATTTTTTTTAATTTTTACAGCGCACTGAGCTCTTCAATGATGGTTTGATCTAGGTTTCTGTAATGGATATTTACTATAGTGGGCTATGAGTCATTGAATTGCAGGAATATGGTTTTTTTTTTTCATCTCTGGGTGACTTAGCAATGATGATTTGCCATTCAGGAGCATCCTTGGTACAGAAGCCAAAAAAGTCAAGGAAACGGCCACTACACGTGGGTGCTAGGAGTGAGGAACAGTAGCTCCACCCCTTGTTTCTGATTGGTTCCCCGGTGGGTTTAGAATGTTGGGTTTTGTCATGGAAACTGTCTGATTGGCTCTCTAAAAGCTGGAAAATCGCCAAATCCCACTCTGATCAGCTGTTTCTAGGGAATTCTGGGGATTCCCCCCCACCCAATGCATCATCTCTATTCCTGTTCCTGCTGTGGGGCACATCTGTATCTTGCCGTTCCAGATGTGTTGGGCCTTACTTTCCAACCCTTGGTCAAGATTGATGCCAAGGCCATAAATTATTGCCAATAGTGCCCTGGCTCCAGCACTGTTTGGGACCAAACCTCTTTTAGAAGAAGATCAGAACAAATGCCTTGATTTTCTGACGGCGTAGGTCCATCCCAACTTGGTAGGATGGGGCTTCTAATTCCCGACATGGTGTAATAGGCTTCCGTTGTAATGCCAGAGGGACAGTTGAGAAGATACGTTAGGACTCTTGGAATATCTACAGCCCGTGTTGATTTTCAAAAGGCAGGTTGAGGACCATTGACCAAACATCTTGAGATAATGAGAGGCTGGAGTCTTCTCCAAAGATCCTCATTTTACCTACCTCGGAAGGATGGAAGGCTGAGTCAACCTTGAGCCTGGTGAGATTTGAACTCGCAGTAATTGCAGGCAGCGGGCAGATAAAGTGCTACTTTAACAGCTCTTTAGTCCGCTGCTCCACCAAGGCTCTTTTGCGAAGTTATTAGGAACTCAAATTGATGCTTAAGAGTTTGACCCCCTTCCGCAGCAGGGGAGCACTGCATGCTGTTTTCACTGTCTTCAGCATTTATTTATCTTTTTTTATTATTATTATTGGTTTCCCCCATTCGCCCCCCTCCCCTTAAAAAGAGAGGCAGAACTAAATTTGGTGAATTGCAAAAAAAAAAAAAAAAATCTGTCAGGAAAGCATTGAGCAAACGATGTCTTTAATATATTCCCCAGGCGTGTGTGGCTGAAAACCTTTTGAAGGCCGAGGGGTGGAAAGAGGCATCTTCCTATTTGTAAGTCAAAACTCTTTGCAAATTTTGTTTCCCCCCCCGCAGTGCTCTCTTTGTCATGAAATTAAACGGGGAGGGGAGAAAGTGCATGATTTGAGTTCCTTTTACGAACGCCGCTCTTTTGACACGGGTGAGGTCCGTCCTTCCCGAATTTTGGAAGTCCCTTCTGAATAGGCAAAGAATGACAGAATTCCTGGGAAGCCTGAGACTTGTAACTCTTGATCCAGGTTAGGGAAGGGGACGCCGATACCCCAGTTTTGAATGGCAATCACACATATTTAGGAATGGAGAGTTGGAGAACGTGCACTGTTTCTTCTGACAATGGTGCAGGGCCAAACACCTGTCTTCCTAGCAAAGCATCCAAGGCGGTGAATCCCTCACATCTCCAGAGAAACAAATTATGGACCACCAGGTGATCTAAGAGTTCCTGCTCCAGAATTTGAACCATCACCGACACAATAAATTATGCCAACCCAGAGATAAGCGTGGGTCCGAAGATGGGAAAGAAACACACTTTTGCCAGGGCTCAAGAGTTTCTGCAGAGGGCTGAGGTCCTACCAGTCCCTGTCCTTTTTGCCATGAAGAAGCAGATACTGATTTTATTCCATGGTTGCCCAGATCCAAAGCTAAGGTCAATCCTCGTAAGATAATCGGCAGAGCAAGCGGAGTTGTCTGCTGAGCTTCATGATTGTGTGTGTGTGTCAAAAAAAAAATTACATTTCTTGACTTTTTTGACCCTGAGTATGGATGCTCCTAAGGGCAAGATTTAGACCTCTGCTGGCCTCTTGGTCACTCAGCTCTGATTAGGGAGTTCTTTTAGATGTCCGAACAATGGGAACATCAGGCAAAAGAAATCACACAACTAAAACAGAGTGTCACTGGTTGGTTGGTTGCGTGGGCGGTCACTATGGTTTGGAAACCACGGTTAATGACTTGGCCTGCCTAGGGATCCAGCTGGTGTGGTGACTTCTTGCACAAACGATGGTTCAAGAGAACCATGGCTAACAGTGATTGTGAGGTCAACTCATGCAAGATAAGGTGTCTCCGTTAAATTGGAAGTCTATCGGATAAATTACCTCTCACAGAAAGATGTGTAAATTGTTGGCTCAGTTGGTCAGCAAAGAAAAGGCTCTTTTTTTAAAAAAAAGATAGCTTCTCTACTTTTCTGCCTCCATCTGAGCAAAATTGTGGCCCACATTCAGACATGTTCCTATGTGTTTCCCTTCCCCCCACCTTTGCAGGTCCAAGCCAAGTTCCGCTACCCGTTTTACTATGAGATGTGTTGGTATGTTTTGGAGAGATACGTGTTCTGTCTAACCCAGCGCTCTCATTTCAACAGGGAGTATCTACAAGAATCAATGTTAATTGGTAAGTAATTTGCCTGGGCCTCAGTGTATTATTTGGAGTAGCAGTGACGAGAGAGGGAAAGTTGATTGCAGATGTCAGCTTTGGAAGCCATATTAACCTGGGAAGCTTACACTGTCGCCAACTTCTTGCGCCTGGGAAAGTAGGAGGGGGGGATTTGATAGAGTGATTTGAGTTAGACATAATAGCATTCTTCTTTTCGGTCAAGGTCAGAGTGTTCCTGCATCTGGAGGAGGAATGGTTGCAGTGGGGGCTTAAGTTGGGGCGGAGGGCGATTGGGCCATGTGATGGACTGATGGGTGCGGGGGCTGGATATGGGATTTTGATTTATTGAAGGAAAACCCAGAACTCTCAGATTCGGGTTTTCCCCAGATGTGCTAGTATACCTATTCCAATAAATGAAGATTTTGGGATGAAACTTGTCTCAAGAGTTTTTAATTGGAGTTGGGTCATTCTGGAACGCTGACAGCAGAAACTTTTTCAAGTAGGTCCTGGATTGGATAACTCAATACCTCAAAAGACATGCGTGAAGACTCTCTCTCTATTTGTTTATAAGGGTTGGTGCCCTGCTTGAGATTGTATATTGAAAAGAGTGGAGATTTGGGGGATAAATCATGTCACCCCCCAACAGATAAAAAGAAGACGCCGAGGCTTGAAGTTCCTCAAAGTTCCATTTTATTAGAGATGTCGTACAAATTGGCACACCTGGGAAAACCTGAATCTGAAAGCTTCCAGGTTTTCCCCACCCAAATGGAAGTCCAGGTCCCTGCCTAACATCCATACATGAACATCGCATGGTCCAATCACGACACCGTCCCAACTGGAGGTGCCTCCCAGCTCCCGGTGCAGGATAAGATGTCCTTGACTCTCTGAGAAAGGAATGTTGTTATGGCTATATGTCACCCATGCTCTATACAATTCCCCGCTCCAAGTTTCCCACACTAATAAATGTGGCAGGCCTGAAGGCCCAAGGCCAAAGATGGCTTCCAGGCCTGTCATCATCTTTCTATAAGATAGAAATAATTGAGGTTGAAGTTGAGCTAGAACTTTGGTGGTCGTTTGCAAGAGGTCTCAGGGCACTCCATCTTCTGGAAGGTCTTAATTTGTCGTCTTCTCTGCTCCCAGATACCTCGAGGAAACGTAGCTTGGATAGCTTCTCGTCCGATTCCTGGGGAGACATGGATGAGGACTCGTGCGATGTTCGTGCTCAGGAAGACAAGGATAACAATCCCGAAAAAGTCCCCAAGATCTCGTCCGACCTCCCCTCTTCTCCTAACAGCACACACTCGGAGGGGAAAGAAACGTTGGGGAAGAAGCCAAAATCTCGCTTCTTCAAAAGGACTCTCTCCAACGAGTCGGAGGAAAGTATAAAATCAGCCACGGTGGACTATTCCAAAACTCCCATCGGCTCTCCTGCCCCCGAGGTCCCCGCCAAATGGACTCACTTGACCGAATTCGAGCTGAAAGGTTTGAAGGCCCTGGTGGAAAAACTGGAATCTCTTCCGGAGAACAAGAAATGCGTCCCCGAAGGCATTGAAGACCCTCAAGCTCTCCTGGAAGATATGAAGGTGTGTAACAGGCAAGCGTGTCTTTCCGTAGACCTGAGACATGGTTTGTTGGTTGGTGGCCTAGCCTGTAGCCCAACCAGCGTCATTTGTAAGTCGTGGCTTATGGTTTAGTGCATCTTCTTGCACTCTTGGCTTGGGGTTGAGGTCCCATGGAATCTAGAAGGCATCAAGTTCAGGAACACACGTGCAATGGATTTGTGGACCCACCCATTAAAAAAAAACAACCCATCGTGATTAAACCATGGTTTAGCTAGTGCTGCGAGGGAAGTAGTAAGCTTTAACCACGCCCATTCAAGATCGTGTGAAATCAGTCCTTGCAAAAACCCTGATATTTCCTTTACCAGCCCTTTTGCTTTGAAAACAGAACATCCTGAAGGAACATGCAGAGGATGACCAGAATCTGGCCATAACTGGGATTCCCGTGGTATCCTGGCCTAAGAAAAACGCAAAGGTAGGCCATCCTGGTTTCTTTTGGTTACAGGCCTCAATCCTTAAGTCACTACTGTTTTTTTTTCCCCTGCAAAGAAAAAAAGAGTTTTTTTTTCCCCAAAAAAAGAGTTTCCCAAAAAGAGTTTTCTCCAAGGTGGTGTTTTGGCATAATTTCAACCCTCCATTTTTTTTTTTTTAATTTGATTTATATGCCGCCCTTCTCCGGAGACTCAGGGCGGCTTACAGTGCGTTAAGCAATAGCCTTCATCCTTTTGTATATTTATACAAAGTCAGCTTATTGCCCCCACAAACTGGGTCCTCATTTTACCTACCTTAGAAAGGATGGAAGGCTGAGTCAACCTTGAGCCTTGGCGAGATTTGAACTTGCAGTAATTGCAGGCAGCTGAATGTTAATAACAGGCTATTAGTCTGCTGCGCCACCAGGCTCTTTTTTGGGGGTTTAGCTCCCTTGGCGGTTCATGGTGCACCCCGCAAATGTCATTTCCCCTGAATCGCCCGCCGTTCCACGTAGAGAAATGTCATTGCTTTAAGGGCGGCTGTTGCTTTAAACGTTTGCAATGCCTTGAAATGCGCATAACAACAACAACAACAACGGGACAGACAGGATGGTGTTCACGGTTTAGCAAAAGGGGACGCATCCCAAAGGAGTGATTGTGAGTTATTTGCACGAGCTTGCTTGTTGGTTTGATTGTGAGGGGTGGGGGAAGAGCCCCTTGGCATCCTTCGGTCTCCAAAGCTAGAGAACCAAAGTATGGAGGGTTGTTGTTTTTTGGGCATGCATGCAAAAACATTTCATTTATTTTATTTTTCTTTTAAAAAACCCATCTTCCTCCTCTCCCAGCGGCATGGTGCTTCTGCAGCCTCCGTGCCCCTAAAACCGCTTCCGTTGCCCTTGTGTTGGGTGGCCACGAGCCCCTCCTTTTGCAAGGACTTCAACCCCCCTGCTGCACCCGGAAGGAAAGGGAGTTTTGCAAGGAGCCCCCCGCTGAACGGGTCTGGCAGGCCTCCTCCTCCTCCTCCTCCGGCCAAGACCCTCCCTCTGCCCCCTCCCCAGCTCTGCCCCTGCCTCCCTCCCCCCCTCCGCTGGCTTGGGCAGCCAATGGGGAGCCCGTCTTTTGTTCCACTCCGGGTTGGCTTTCCATTGGCAGCCGAGGAAGCTCAGCCTCTTCCTGGTTCCTCTGCACTCATGCCTAGGGAGGAGGGCCTTCTCCGCTCTTCCTCCTCCTCCTCCTCCTCCTCCTCCTCCTCCTCCCACTGGGGGTAAGGAGAGGGAAGGAGCGCCACTGAAGGCCGGGACAGCCAGGTTAGAGCCCCAATCATGCCAGCCCGGCCCTTGCTGGGCTCCCCGTGAGAGATGGTGAGAGATGGCCATGTCAGCCAGCCCGGATGACGAGGACTACGACTCGGAGCAGGACCAGGTGGCTCTCTGTGTGTGTGTGTGTGTTTGTGTGTGCGCGTGCACAAGATGCATGGTTGCTAGCTTGCATGCATGCATGGCGGTGGGTGGGTGGGTCTGTCTGGCTTTTTTTTGTTTTTAATTTAATGGCAGGCGAAGTTTGCACTGGGGGTCTCTTTTTTTTTTCCCCTTCCTGCTTTGCAGGGGTTGTAAGAGGGCAGGAGTGTGTGGGGGGTGGTCCTCTCTCCAAGGGGGAAAAAAAGGGGGGGGCAAGCCAAGGAAATGGGATGCGGGTGTGTGTGTGTGTGTGTGGGTGGGTGGGGGGGGGACCTTCCAAAGACAGCATCCGGCCCTGGCCTGCCGTCTTCTCCCTTCTTGAGGCTCGGGGGCGGGGGGAAGCGGGGTCTAAATAAAGGAAGGGAAGAAGGAGGAGAGGGAGAAGGGAAGGAGGAAGGAGAAAAGGAAGGAAGGAGAGAAAGAAAGAGAAAGAAAGAAAGAGTGAGGGTCGGGGGAAGGAAGGAAGGAAGGAAGGGGAGAAAGGAAAGAAAAAGAAAGAGAGAAAGGAAGAAAGAAAGAAAGAGGGTGGAAGGGGGGAAGGAAGGAGAGAAAGAAAGTGAGGGTGGGAGGAAGGGGAGAAAGGAAAAAGAAAGAAAGAAAGTGAGAGTGGGAGGAAGGGGGTAAGGAAGGAAGGAGAAAAGGAAGGGGAGAAAAAAGAAAGAATGAAAGAGTGAGGGTGGGAGGAAGTGGGGAAGGAAGGAAGGAGGGAAAGAAGGGAAGGGAGGGAAGAAAGGAAAGAAAAAGAAAGAGAGAAAGAAAGAAAGAAAGAAGAAAGAAAGAAAGAAGAAAGAAAGAAAAAGAAAGAAAGAAAGAAAAAGAAAGAAAGAAAGAAAAAAGTGAGAGTGGGGGGAAGGAAGGAAGGGTGAGAGGCAAAGGGGGTCTTTGAAAGTCAACTGCACTGTAGGGTTTTTTTTGTGTGCTTTTTTTTTTCCTTTATTGTTTTCGAAGAAAGACGTTGCTTTGACTTTGCTTCGCAGGAGATTTTTTTAACTCAAACAATCTTATTTTTTCTTATATTTCTTTAATCAGAGGGGCAGGAAGTTAGATCTCGGCTGTGCTTTGGAGATCCGAAATACCTTCCCCTAGGAGTGAATGGAGGGGGTCTGCTTGTTGCTTGTGTGACAGCTTCCTTGTCTCCCTCTCCCCCCCCCGACCCCCCCAGTGGAAGGCTTAATCCCATCAAGATAAGGAATTGGTTCTGTGTCCTGTTTTTACAGTAAATGCAAGAAAATGCCTGGGACATCTTAAAAGGGCTTGTATAATGTGGGCAGGGGGGGAAAGGAAAGCCCCCCCCCCCAACTGAGACCTGAGCCAATTTTTTGGAAGCTACTAGCATTTACCAATTTAAAATTGCACTAGTATTTAGAAGTGAAAAAGCAATCTTTTTTTTTAAAAAAATTATTCTTACCCTGATTCACTCAGAACGAAGATATAAATTTTTTTACCTGGCCCTCTTGGTGTATCTCAAATTTGTTTCCTGTATCCAACTGAAAATATATTTCTTAATTCCTTAAATTTGCTGTTGGGACTGGCCGCGTCCTCTTATGTAATATTCCTCGCCTATATTTCCTTATTCTGCCTTTTAACAGTTATCCAGGGCAACGCATTGGGTTGTTTATACTTCGTCTTGTAGGTTTATTACTTTTGTGGTTGGGTTAAAAGCAAACAGTATTAATTATTTTGTTTAAAAATGAACATTTTTTTCTAATTGTTTTAGGATTGTTCACCACCTAAAATCAGTGGGTTGAGATGGGTAGCTGTAGAAATTAACTTTTTTAAACAAATAAATAAGGTGGATCTAATTTAGGGATCCACTTTATGTGAGCCTCTTGGAAGGGGAATTTCTGTAGCTCCTAGAATGTAATTTTTGAAAAAAAATAATTATTTGTTATGGTCATTGTTTTAAATTAAGAGCTGCACGTGAAGTCGATCTCAGTTCTGAGGTAAAACGTTGGGCCTTGTCAAAGATTTTAAGTTATTTTTTAATTGATCCGTTATTTATATCTATTTTATTTATTTGTTCAATTCGATGGCGCCCAACTCCAGACCATGCTGGGTGATTCACAGCACACCAAACAACACAGAAAAATGTAAACAACGGACAGCAAGACCAAACTTTAGTTTTTAGAAAGGATTATAAAAATTCTCACTCGGCTAAAAGAAAAAAATTTACAGGAGTGGAAGTTTGCTGATGTGGGCTAAACCTCACTGAGGTCCATCACCATGATTTGGCTGGCACCAGCAAACACTTACTTCATATGGAACACAATAAATCAAATGTACAAATCGTTTATATTTCCCCCCCTCTATATTTATTGGTTTACTAACTTTTGCTTTGGAGATTAGTGATGCTTACACGTGTAATGCGGTTTCCTAATTCTCGCCTATGGAACAAACCACAATGCTAAGCATAAACTATGAATTGCAATCCACAACCAACTGTGGCTGGCTTGGCTTATTATGTGACCCATCGTGGCTAATTTGAAGAATCATTTCTAGCCCTGGAAGGCAGCAAACGTATCTAATACTCCTCCTTCCTCCTCCTATTTTCCTCACAACAACCACCCTGTGAGAGGGGAGAGCTGGCTCAAAGTCACTTTCTTCCCCAAGGCAAAACTAGAACTCACCGTCTTCTGGGGATTGGCCCAAAATCATCAAGCCAACTTTCATGGCTAAGGTGGAACTAGGAACTCACTGTCTCCTGGTGATTGGCTCAAGGTCACCCAGCTGGCTTATGCCTAAAATGGGACTAGAACTCACCATCTCCTGGTGACTGGCCCAAAGTCACCTAGCTGGCTTTCATAGCTAAGGCAGAACTAGAACTCACCGTCCCCTGCTTTCTACCATCAACAGGCTTCCTCCTCCTCTGTATTACAACCAATTGTGGTGTTTTTAAATCCTTCCTTGTATGTTACCATATTTCCCCGAAAATAAGACCCTGTCTTATATTTTTTTTGAACCCCGAAATAAGCACTTGGCCTTATTTTGGGGGATGTCTTATTATTTTGGGGCGCGTGGAGCAAGACGGGGCTCCTCTTGCCATCTTAACCCTAACCAGAGGAAATGGCGGGGACTGGCTGTACATGCGTTTAAATATTTTCGGGGAGGGCTTATTTTCAGGGGAGGGTTTATTTTCGGGAGAGGGCTTATTTTCAGGGGATGTCTTATTTTCGGGGAAACACTGTCATACTTTCCAAGCTAACTCTCCATGAATTCTTTACGGCTACTCGGCCTGCGTCTTCTGTGGCGTTAGGCCTGGGTCCATCTGGCCAAGTTGGTAACAACAGCGAAGCCAGAAAGCTCTTATTACTGACCGGCCTCTGTCGCCTGTATCTCTTTAATCTCCTTTTGTGGTTTACCGTATCATCCCAACTCCAAAGAGCTGCCACTTTAGGTTTGCAGAAAGAGGAACTGGTAACCAAAGTTTATCGTAAGCCGTAACGTCCGCTTTGTTCCCTACAAGGGGATCGACCCCCAACGGGAGCGATTTTACAACAGCCAGCAGTATGGTAGGTGGTCAGCCTTTAAACCCCCCCCCCCGTCTCTCGTTCTTTCCCAGAACCGGACAGTTGGGCGTCCAAAGGGGAAACTGGGCCCTTCCTCAGCTGTGAAGCTTGCAGCGAACCGGACGACTGCAGGCGCGCGTCGGAGAAGGACGCGATGTCGCAAGTGCGAGGCCTGCTTGCGGACAGAGTGCGGCGAATGTCATTTCTGCAAGGACATGAAGAAGTTTGGGGGGCCTGGCCGCATGAAACAGTCCTGCATTATGAGGCAGTGCATCGCGGTAAGCGCCATCGATGTTCGCCGGGGTGGGAAATCGGGATCCGCCTCCAGGCCAGGGGAATACAAGTTTGCCAACTTCACGACTTGTGGACTTCAATTCCCAGAAATCCTCAGCCAGCCATGATGGCTTGTGGACTTCAACTCCCAGAGTTCCTCAGCCAGCCATGGTGCCTTGTGGACTTCAACTCCCAGAATTCCTCAGCCAGCTATGATGGCTTGTAGATTGGCTCAGCATGGCCGGTTGAGGAATTCTGGGAGTTGAAGTCCAAGCTTGCTCCGGGCAGAGGCATTTCTCGTTTGCTCCAATTGCTTTTGCTGCTATGTCCGATCCTCTGATCTGTCTTTTCTTCCTGCCTCCGTAGCCGGTGCTGCCCCACACTGCCGTGTGCTTGGTGTGTGGAGAAGCAGGGAAGGAAGACACGGTGGAGGAAGAAGAGAGCAAATTTAATCTGATGCTTATGGAGTGCTCCATCTGCAACGAAATCATCCACCCCGGGTGCCTTAAGGTAAGGGCAGAAGCTTCTGGGACTTATTCCAGGGAGTCCTTGTCTTATGACCATGGTTGAGCCCGTTGCTAAGTGAGTTTTGCCCCCATTTTACTGGATTTCTTTGGGAGGGAGATGAGAAGTTTGTAAATGTGATGAATGAATAGAATAGGAATAAGATAAAAAGGGGGCAGATCTCCCCATTCCTGCCTGGGTAAACAGGAGGAGCTCACAAAACTTCCTCTTGTTTTTTCCTTTCCTCTCTCTACCTGTCTCTCTCTCTCTTTCTTTCTTTCTCTCTTTCTTCCCCATTTCCTCTCTCTCAGGTGCGGGAATCAGACGGCGTGGTGAACGAGGAGCTTCCGAATTGTTGGGAATGTCCCAAGTGCAACCATGCTGGAAAAACGGGGAAAGTGAGTTTTACAGCAACGGTTGGCTGGCCCGGAAAAAGGAAACAAAAAAGTCTCTCTTTTTTTGTGCATTTTGCCAACTTTGTCAACCTCAAACTGTGACTTTTTTTTTACCAATCGGGTGGCTGGCGAGCCCCCCTGTGCCCCTCCCCGTGCAGATCTTTAACAAAATGGCTCTGAGGTTGGTGATGATGCTAGAACCCTGATTTTAAATTATGAAATAATATATATTTATTTATATATATATATAAAAAGGAGGGTTAAACATCTTGTCTCCAAGGATATTGGGACTTGCAGCACTTGAAATCTGATAAGGAGATTTTGAGAAAGAGGGCCGGTCTATTTTGATATTTATTTATATATCAAAGGCATAAGATATAAAGTTTGCTTGTGTGTTTTGTCTCTTTCTGGCGTACAAGCAAAAGCGGGGCCCCGGGTTCAAATACGCTTCCAACCTGCCGGGCTCTTTGCTGAAAGAGCAGAAGATCAACCGAGAGAACAAGGAAGTCGTCCCCGAGATCCCCAAGCGGAAAGTCGAGTGCGAGGAATCGCCCCGCAAGAAATCCGACGAGCGCCCCCCGAAGCCCCCCCTGGATCCTCTCTTGAGGAGGAAGTCCTCGGAGGAAGCCCACCTGCGCCGCAAGCGGAAATTCGAGAAACCCCAAGAGCCGGCCATGAGGAAACGGGTAAGACCGGGGAATTGTTTCCCCTTTGGGTGTTTTGGGCGAAAAGGCAGGAGAAGGAGGTGCCTCTTTAGAAGAAGCGTAGTAGTACAAGGAGGATCAGGAGCTGGGACCTCTTAGTAAAAATGGTTACTGTCTTGCCCTTCCCTATAAGCCGGGATTGGTTGGTACAAATCCACATTTGTAGAGATGGATGAATCTAAAAATACTAAGCCCTGCCTCAACTTGAACCTTTTAAGCAAGAAAGACCCTGGATTCTATTTATGGAGAAAGGTATAGTTTACTAAAGGTCAAGTGGAATACAGTAAAGCAAAGCCAGAACTGAAATTCGCTCGCGCACCAAATCCCCCTCTTAGGCACTTCCTATTACTGGTCCCCCCCCCCCATTGTCCCATCAATTTCAGAGAAGATGCCTTCTGAAACGGTCACTCTGAGGATAAGCTGTCCTACGGCTGCATTCTTCCCGGGAAGCGACCTTGAAACACTGTCTCTGAGGGACATGCTTCCTTCCATTACTTTTCACTTTCCCCCAAGCGTTCCCTCTCCCTTTCACCCACCACCGATTTTAACACCTCTGAAAGGGGAGAGGTTTAAATGTGCGTGTCAGTGTCCCAAGTAACACCCCCAACGAAAGAAGACTCCGAGGCTTGACGTTCCTCAAAACTTCCTTTTTATTAGAGATGTCATATTGGCACATCTGGGAAAACCCGAATCTGAGAGCTTCCAGGTTTTCCCCGCCCAAAGGAAAGTCCAAGTCCCTGCTCAGCACCCACATGTCCATCACATGGTCTAATCAAAGCACCGTCCCATCTGGAGATGCCTCCCAGTTCCAACCGTCCAGATGCAGGGCAAGATGTCCTTGACTCTCTGAGAAAGGAATGTTGTTATGACTACATATTTCTCCTGCTCCATACAATCTCCTCTCCCAGTTTCCCACAGCAGTAAATGTAAAGGATGGCTTCCAGGCCTGACAATATGTTTTTAAACCAGCCAGCCATGTAGGGTAGTGTTTCGAAACCTCCGTAACTTTAAGTGTTGCAAACTTAAATTCCCAGAATTCCCTCAAGCGGCATGGGAAGAGTGACTAAATAAAATTCATGTTTTCTTTCCTTCCTTCCTTCCTTCCTTCCCTCCCTGACTGTAGCTAAAACTGGGGAAAGAAGAGAAGCTGTTCAGGAAAAAGGTAATTTCTTCATCTGTACGGATTTCTCCCAACCCCCACAATCTTCCCCAGAGGACATCAGTGATTTATACAGGTAGTCCTCGACTTAACAACAGTTCATTTAGTGACTGTTCACTAAACGACGGCACTTGAAAAATGTGACTTGGAAATGTTTTTCGCACGGCTGTTCCAGCATTCTCAGGGTCACGTGATTAAAATTCGGACTCTTGGCAAGTTTATGATGGTTCAACGTCCCACGGTCACGTAATCCCCTTTTGTGACCCTCTGACGGGAGAAGTCAATGGGGAAGCCAGACTCACTGAACAATCATGTTACTAGCTCGGGTGTCAGCAACTCGTGGCTCCGGAGCCGCATGTGGCTCTTTGGGCCCTCTGCTGCGGCTCCCTGTCCCATCATTAGCTGGTCCCACACCTCTACCTCCTCTCCCAGTCACTCCTTGCCTGGCCTTGGAAATCTGAGAGATACAGGGAGAGGGGAAGAGAGAGACATAGAGCGAGATACAGAGACGGAGAGGGGGAGAGAGAGAGATACAGAGAGAGGGGGAAACAGGGGAAGAGAGAGAGGGAGAGAGAGAGGGGGGGGGGAGAGAGGGAGACAGAGGGGGGAGAGAGAGAGAGAGAAATACAGAGGGAGGGGGAGAGAGATACAGAGACGGAGAAGGGGAGAGAGAGAGATACAGAGAGAGGGGGAAAGGGGAAGAGAGAGAGGGAGACAGAGAGGGGGGAGAGACAGAGAGATACAGAGGGAGGGGGAGAGAGAGATATAGAGAGATACAGAGACGGAGAGGGGGAGGGGGAGAGAGAGATACAGAGAGAGGGGGAAAGGGGAAGAGAGGGGGAGAGAGAGAGAGAGACATAGAGATACAGAGGGAGAGAGGGGAAGAGAGATGGGGGGAGAGAGATTCAGAGAGCGGAAGAGAGAGAGAGAGAGAAAGAAAGAAAAAACGGTTTTGTGGTTCCTGGTGTTTTTTAACAACCGGTTCTCTGCCCGAATGACCGGCAGGGTAGGTGTGCTAGGGGAGTCATGTGACTGGGTTGGAGTGAGTGTGGAGTTGGCCACGCCCACCCAGATTTTGTGGCTCCCGGTGTATTTTTTTCAGTGGGAAATGGGTCCAAATGTTTCTTTGAGTGTTTAAGATTGCCATCCCCTATACTAACTGAACATCTGCAGCGATTCACTTAACAAATGTGGCAGGAAAGGAGGTGAAATGGGGTGAAACTCACTTAACAAAGTTTTCCTTAGCAACACAAATTTTTGGGTTCAATTGTGGCCATAAGTCAAACTCTACCTGTGTAGAAGCGTTCCTCAATCTTGGGAAGTTCAAGAGGGGTGGACTTCAACTCCCAGAATTCCCCGATCCTCCAACGACGACTTGGCACCATTGTTGATTGATTCTCCTTTGATATCGGGGTATCTTCCCCCTTTCTAGAGGCGCTCCTGGAAGACCCCAGATGACCGGGTGGCTGCCCTCAAACCCCTGCGGCGCTTCAAGCAAGAAGGTGGGGAGGTCTTTCCAGAGGAACCTCCGAAAACCAAGGAGAGCGACCAGTCGCGTTCGAGCTCGCCCACCGCGGGGCCGAGTTCAGAAGGCGCCGAATCCCGGGAGAAGAAAAAATTCAAGATCCGCCGGAAAACCCGCCTGCCCAACAAAGAACTGAGCAAGGAACTGAGCAAGGAGCTCAACCAGGAGATCCAGAAGACCGAGAACAGCCTGGCCAACGAGGACCACCAACCCATCAAATCGGAGCCGGAGAGCGAGAACGAGGAGGCCAAGCATCACCTCGGCCCGGAGCAGCCGCACCCGCTCACCAAGGGCTTCAACGGGACGCCGCGGGAACTCCGCCACCAGCTCCTCTCCAGCCTCCGCAGCAGCAGCACCACCCCCACCCCCAGGACCATTGCCCGGCCCCCTCCTTCCCTCTCGCCCCCCAAGTGCATGCAGATGGAGCGCCACGTGGTACGGCCGCCCCCCATCAGTCCCCCGCCTGACTCGCTCCTGCTGGACGATGGAGCGGCCCACGTAATGCAGAGGGAGGTGTGGATGGCCGTCTTCCGCTGCCTACGACCCAGGGAACTCTGCCTCTGCATGAGGGTGTGCCGGACCTGGAATCGGTGGTAAGGAATAGGGGGGATCCGTGGGGGGGCCCTATTAGAATAGGAATAGAAATAGAATAGAATCAGGAGGAGGAGGAGGAGGAGGGAAAAAGGAAGGAGAATAGAAAATGGGATGGGATGGGATGGGATGGGATGGAATAGAATAGAATAGAATAGAATAGAATAGAATAGAATAGAATAGAATAGAATAGAATAGAATAGAATAGAATAGAATAGATAGACTTAATGATAGTCATAGAGTACAAATAAGCAATCAAATCATACTAGGGAACAGTCAATATAAATCTTAAGGATACCAGCAACAAGGTTAAAGTCATACAGTCATAAGAAGGAGGAGATGGGTGATAGGAACGATGAGAAGATTCATAGTAGTGCAGACTTAGTGAATAGTTTGACAGTGTTGAGGGAATTATTTGTTTAGCAGAGTGATGGCGTTTGGGGAAAAACTGTCCTTGTGTCTAGTTGTTCTGGTGTGCAGTGCTCTATAGCCTCGTTTTGAGGGTAGGAGTTGAAAGAGTTGATGTCCAGGATGCGAGGGATCTGTAGATATTTTCCCAGCCCTCTTTTTGACTCGTGCAGTAGACAGGTCCTCCATGGAAGGCAGGTTGGTAGCCATGGTTTTTTCTGCCGTTCTAATGATCCTCTGAAGTCGGTGTCTGTCTTGTTGGGTTGCAGAGCCAAACCAGACAGTTATGGAGGAGGTGCAGATGACAGACTCCATCATTCCTCTGTAGAACTTGAGGGCAAGCAGGAACTGAGGTGTCGGGGGGACCCTTAGGAACTGGAGGGCAGGATTGAACTGGGAGAATTGGGAGTCCCTTACTGGGAGGATCAGAGGACCCCTTAGGAACTGGAGGGCAGGATTACAATGGCTGTGACTCTGACCAGGATAAAGAGAGGCGAGAATTCAGTGTGGCTTCGGAAACCTGGGTGTTGTCCTTTTATTTTTTATTTTTTTGGCTTTTATTGGAGTTTATTGTAATATAAAATAGAAATAAAGATGAAAAAGGAAAAAGTTTAAAGTAAAAAAAAAAAAGGAGATTCGTTTTGGTGCCGTAGAATACAAAATACAGTTACAACCTCAAAATTCAGACGTTTGGGCCAACTGACTCATATTTATGACAGTTGTAGTGTCCCGTGATCCCGTTTTGTGACCTTCTGACAAGCAAAGTCAGTGGGGAACCCGGATTCCCTCAACAACCAGGTTATTCACTTACCAACTGCAGTGATTCACTTAGCAACGTAGCCGAGAAAAGTCGTAAAACGGGGCAAAACCCGCTTTATATAAACGCCTCGCTTCACAACAGAAAGGTTGGGGCTCCATTGCGGTTGTAAGCCGAGGAACACCTCGATTTCAAGCCTTTGTCTTTCTTTCCGAGATGTGGGCCAGGCCTCTCCTCTGCTTTTCTCTCCTCCAGGTGCTGCGATAAAAGGCTGTGGACCAAGATAGACCTCAAACATTGCAAATCCATCACTCCCCTGATGCTGAGCGGCATCATCAGAAGACAGCCGGTCACGCTAGATCTGAGCTGTACAAATATCTCGAAAAAGCAGCTGAGCTGGCTTATTACCCGGCTTCCAGGTAGCTCCCACTTTAGCGATTCCTGTGTCGGCCCTGCAGCCGTTCTCCTCCTCCCTGGCATTCTCCCCCCCCCCGGGAGTCGAGCTGTGGGAACGGCAGTGGGGGTGAGACAGAGATAACAGGGGGACTGTAGCCAAAATAAAATCCTTTCCTCTTGAGAGCCAAGGACTTTCCCACCAGGTGGAAGGAGGTGGGAGGATCTGAGACCAACTGATCCTTGGATTGTGACCTGATTGGACCACGTGATGGATTGCATAGGCAGGGGGAAGAAAAAATTACTTTTAACTGGGTGGGGGGGAACCCAAAGGGAGAGGGTTAGAGTCAGGTTTCCCAGTGTTGTTGTTAGTTGCAAAGTCGTGTCTGACCCATCGCGACCCCATGGACAACGTTCCTCCAGGCCTTCCTGTCCTCTACCATCCTCTGGAGTCCATTGAAGCTCACGCCGACTGCTTCAGTGACTCCATCCAGTCACCTCATTCTCTGCCGTCCCCTTCTTCTTCTTTTCCCCTCAATCTTTCCCAGCATTAGGCTCTTCTCCAGGGAGTCCTTCCTTCTCATTAGGTGGCCAAAGGATTTGAGTTTCCTCTTCAGGATCTGGCCTTCGAAAGAGCAGTCAGTCAGGGTTGATCTCCTCTAGGACTGACCGGTTGGATCTCCTTGCAGTCCAAGGGACTCGCGGGAGTCTTCTCCAGCACCAGAGTTCAAAGGCCTCCATTCTTTGGCCTTCTCAGCCTTCCTTGTGGTCCAACTTTCACAGCCATCCATTGCAACTGGGAAAACCGTAGCCTGGACTATACGCACTTTTGTTGGCAGGGTGATGTCTCTGCTTTTTAGTACACTATCTAGATTTGCCATAGCTTTCCTCCCCAGGAGCAAGTGTTTTTTTAATTTCTTGGCTGCAGCCCCCATCTGCAGAGATCTTGGAGCCCAGGCGTGGCAATATGACATGCCTAATAAACCTGTACTTTGAGGAACAGGCCTGCCTTGGAGTTTTGATTCCATTGGGTGTGTTAACTGGAACACTGACAATGCTGCCTTAGATGAGGCAGTGTAGAGAATGAAGGAGAAGGAGGATTGTCTTGAAGTTAGGACCGCTTTTGAGGGTTGCATCTTCCCTCCCCCGTAGGTCTCCGGGATCTGCTTTTGGCTGGATGCTCGTGGATTGCCGTGTCCGCACTCTGCAGCTCCAGTTGTCCCCTCCTTCGAACACTGGACAGCCAGTGGGTGGAAGGCCTGAAGGATGCCCAGATGCGAGACCTTCTGTCACCGCCAACTGACAACCGTCCAGGTGCGTATCCCCAATTTTGGACTCCGGCAACAAGACTTGGGTATCTGTTTTCAGGAGAGAACCCAGAATATAAAACTACCAGGTTTCCCATATTTGGGAGGGTCTGCCTCAAGAGTGGGGCAGAGGAACTGGGTAGAGTAGAATCGTGGGTGTGGGGTGAGTTGTTTTTTTTTTTTAAAGTGTATAAATTATCCTGTTCAGAGACGGTTAGGCTACAAGTTAAAAAGGATGGGCTAGAACAGTGGTTTTCAAAGTTGGCCATTTTAAGAAGGGTAGACTTCAACTCCCAGAATTCCCCATGCTGGCTGGAGAATTCTGGGAATTGAAGTCCACCCCTCTTAAAATGAAAAACATTGGATGAACTCTGCTCACCTGTATCAAAGGATGGGTAAGTTGTTCACCTTGTGACCAAAACCTTTTTAATTTGTCTTCTCTTGCGTGATATTTTTATAGGAAGGAATATTTCATTTGACAATCTCTGATCCTAGAAGCTTGAAAAGTTTTGCATTTTGGGGGTGTCTCTCCAGGCGTGGCTTTACCTGTTGAATCGTAGCCCCTGCAGATGAAATAATAACAAGACTTTTGCTGCCTTTTGTTAACTCGCGCAGGCCAGATCGACAACCGAAGCAAGCTACGGAACATCACCGATCTCCGCCTGTCCGGCCTGGACATCACAGATGATTCTCTGCGTCTGATTATCCGGCACATGCCTCTCCTGTCCAAGCTTAATCTCAGCTACTGTAATCACGTGACGGACAAGTCCATCAACTTGTTAACGGCGGTGGGGACCACCACGCGGGATTCCCTAACCGAGGTTATTTTGAAAGGTAGGCTGGGAGAGATTCAACAGGTAGAGCCCTTGGAAAGATCTCTGTATCTCTTGATTTTAGTGGTCCACCTGCCATCCAAAACAGCCCCAGAGGAAAATCTTGCTGGATTGGTAAAAGTGGGGATACGAATCTTCTTTGTTGTTGTTGTTGTTAGTTGCGAAGTCGTGTCCGACTCATCGCGACCTCATGGACCACGTTCCTCCAGGCCTTCCTGTCCTCTACCATCCCCCGGAGTCCATTTAAGCTCACGCCGACTGCTTCAGTGACTCTATCCAGCCACCTCGTTCTCTCTTGTCCCCTTCTTCTTTTGCCCTCCATCGTTCCCAGCATTAGGCTCTTCTCCAGGGAGTCCTTCCTTCTCATTAGGTGGCCAAAGTATTTGAGCTTCATCTTCAGGATCTGGCCTTCCAAAGAGCAGTCAGTCAGGGTTGATCTCCTCTAGGACTGACCGGTTGGATGGCCTTGCAGTCCAAGGGACTCGCAGGAGTCTTCTCCAGCACCAGAGTTCAAAGGCCACGATTCTTTGACGCTCAAACATCTTCCTTGTGGTCCAGCTTTCCCAGCCATCCATTGCAACTGGGAAAACTAGTTTGCATACAGTATACAATAAAATACAGTTTCCCAGTTGCATAGATTGGGAAAACCAGAAAACCAACAAGACGAGCTATAGAACTAATTTCTGATTCATGCTCCTATGTACCTCGCATTATTCTTTAATACAAGAAGTCCTCGACTTATAACCGTTCCTTTAGGGTCTTTCACTAAACAATGAATGATCCTGAAAACAAAATGACTTACAGACAGTCCCTGGGCGTACAACCATTGCAGCTTCCCCACAATCCAAGGGATCGAAATTTGGGCGCTTGGAAACTGGCATGGATTTATGGTGGTTACAGCATCCCAGGTCATGTGACTGCTGCTTGCACCCTTCCCAGCCGCTTTCCAACATGGGGAATATGAGCCAAGCATCAAACTTCGATCACTTAATCAATGGGGGATGCTGCATTGTTTGTAAGCATGGATCCCTTTTTTCCAGTGCCGTCGCAACTTTGAACGGTCCCTAAACGAACCCTTCCCTCTCTTTCGCTTGCAGACTGCAACAAGGTGACGGATCAGTGCCTGTCGTACTTCAAGCGCTGTGGGAGCATCTGCCACATCGACCTCCGTTACTGCAAGCAGGTCAGCAGGGAAGGCTGCGAGCAATTCATCGCCGAGATGTCGGTCAGCGTCCAGTTTAGCCAAACGGAAGAGAAATTGCTGAAGAAGCTGAGTTAGTATTTGCAAGGACAGAGTTGTAAATAGAGGCGAAGGAAGCAGAGGGAGTGGGGGGTGGGAGAGAAAAGGACTGAAGGAAGAGGCTTTTTTTTCCCCGCCGGACACGCAGCGGCGATGTCGAGAGAACGGACCGGACCGCGTGGGAACGTACAGCAGCCAGGTTGGCAATTTGGTGCTCTGGCGGGGGGGCCGTTCACTTCCTGGGATTTTCGGGAAACGGAGACGCCAACTCAGAACTGCCGCCAGAGCGCACGGACCGAGACTTTTGGCGGGCCTCCGAAGCGAAACGTTCGTTCTGCCCCGCTGAAGGTGGGCCCCTCCCCTGCGTTTTTTCTGCCTAGGGGACTGTGGTTGGGTTTTTTTTTGGTTTTTCCCTGTTACATCTTGACCTTATGCAAAACTATTTTTGTACAAATCCCTTTTAAAAAAGTTTATTTATGCAAACGTTCTAAAAATGCATCTACGGCGTTTTGACTTGGGTTTCGCGTTGCCAAATGTTTCCGAAGTTGGAGGGGGGGGAGCGGGGAAGGGGAGCAGTCTTCGGAAGAGACACCACGGATCGGATGGATATTTCCCCACTTTTGAAGGGGCGGAGGGGAAAAATCGGGGAATACTTTTTATGAAAAGGGGAGGGGGGGGAAATAGCATGTTTTGTATACCGCTTTGTATACTCGAGCAACACAGTAAGGTATGTGGTGCAAAAAGAAAAAAAAGGTGTACAGATGAAGGATGAAAGTGGACATTAAATTCTCCCCCCCATATAAAGCCCACCTTTTCCTTAATTTTGACAGCTTTTCAGTTAAGCCAATCTCCTGGAGGGAAAGTATTAAGCTATTGGGGCTTTCGAAGTTGAGGAGTTTTTGGGTTTTTTAAAAGAATGAGTTGTTATTTAACTTGGTTAACTATTTTTTTTAAAAAAAGGGGTGGGTGGGAATTCAGTATACAGTACATTAAGTGCCATTGTTGTGAAAGTGCTGTCTCTCCGGTTGATTTCCTTCCTTCCTTTCATGCAGTTTTTACCTCTATTCAAATTTGTATAAATGATTGTGCAAAAAACAGAGGCTAGCTTGTATTATACATGTTGAACCTTTGTAAGATTTCCTGAAAAAGCCCCCCTGGCTTCAACATCCCCCCCCTCCCCCCCGAAGTTGTTTCCCAAGAGCAAACTTGGGACGGTAAAGAGATTCCGCGTTCAGTTGTTCTCCGTTAAACGGCATTTGTGAGCCAGGCGAATCCAGTTGCTTTGTCCCTTGAGGGGAGAAAAGTAAAAACTTTTTAATAGAACATTAACCTTTGCTTACTTGGTGGTGTGTTTTCCCTTTTCCCCAGCTGTAGAAATGGTGGTTGAAAGAAATCTGCAACTCGCAAAACCTTTCAGGTGAGGCTGTCATGCCTACACTCTGCCTCGCCCGTTCGTCTGGGCGTTTTTCGCAGCCGGGGGGATGAGTGGGGGAGTGGGGGCAAAGAAAAGCAGACCGAAGCCAATGGATGAAACGTTTATTAAGCCAGCCGTTAACTCAGAATGTTATGGATATACTACATTCTCGATTATGCATGTACCCCTGAACGACTTGATATTCTACACCGTCTCTTTGTTAGAGACATTTTCCAAAAAAAAACCCCCCAAAAAACCCCCAAAACACCAAAGCCATCATTTCTTTGCTCCCTTCTGAAAAATGATCAGCTTCAAGATGCAAATGGTTAACCCTTAGCTGGCTGCTGAACAGGCACCCAATTTTCACAGCCTTTCTCCAAAGCCTGAAATTCACAATGGGCTCCCCAAAATGCTTCTTGGCTTTCCCTACACGCCACGCAGTCAGAGGATTTTTTGGGGAGCCTTTTGCTCGTCCCAGCTATTTGGGGACTGCAAATCTCTTAAGAAACCAATGCAGAGCTACTGCAATATGTGTTGCTGGACAGGAAAGACAGTGGCAGAACAGATAATCTTTTAGGACACCCCCAAAGCAGCAGGGCTGAAATAAGCAAGATTGCAACTGGTTGCTTTTGGACCTGGCTTTTTTTTTTAAAAAAAATAATTCCCTCAAGTTAGGTCTGCTGTGGGGTGTCTTTTTTGCTGCTGCTGGACTTCCCTTCGTTACCTGGTTCCTTCCTGAATGTCTCTACTTCTGTGGACTTTGGGAATTTGAGGGGTGGAGAGGCGGGGGGGCTACAGCAGAAGTGGTAGACTACTGTAGACCCCCCTTCCCCACGGAGATCATTTTGCCTTGCCCTTTAGGAACCAGAAGAGCCCGCTTGCTGGGTGCTACTTTGAACGGACCAATTTCTCCCGGGGGGGGGGGCAGAGGGGCAGCTGGTGTGTGAGCGGGGAGGGGCTCTACCAGTTGATGTGGATGGGTGGTGGTGGAGAGGACAATGGGAACAAGGGTGGGATTATCTCTCAGGTCATCCACAGCCCGAGAAGGAACTGGGATCACGCACCGGACCTGATGTTGCCAATCAGAGCAATTGCTCCGATGAGTCCATGGCATGAAATCCATTGCCTGTGGTCCGATCCCGATGACCAGGAGGCTCTGGGGCCTCAGTCTACTGCAGGCGGGATCTACTAGATCGGTCCACCCCCCAGCAACTGAGGGACCCAGTTTCAGAAGAGGGTTGGAGTTATTCTTGTTTGGTAGGCAGGCAGGCAGTCCATCCAAACCTTTTCTCTATCGAGGCACCTCTCCTATGGAGCACCCCTTCCCCGCCCTCAAGACCTGGTTATGGGGGTCACCAGGTCAGGGGGTCCTGGGTAAATAGACATTCAACATTGTAGTTGTTACCGTCTCCGTGTGGTTTGTATATTTTAAATGTATACAGTGCTTTTTAAAATATTTTTCAACACCTACGTCGCTTTAGGGATTGTGGCATGCAATCCAGCATCGCTTTTGGTGACTCGGGAGGCCAGGTCAACGTGACAAATCCTGGTCAACCTTCTCAAGGTGAGAATGTAAACTCGACTCTTCCCGTGCTGAATCCGAGGACGTATTTAGGGTGTCGGAACGGAGATACAAAGTGGCTCACTGGCTCGCTCTCGCTCTCTCCGATGCAGACTGTAAAAGGCAGCTTTCAACTCTTCCCATTAAGGCTAATTGTAGATCCCCAGGTGGGCTGACACTCTGGGTGATTGGCACAAGAACTGCTCTGCCAGCCCACCCACAAAATCTCCCTCCCGGGGTGAGAAAACGCCCCCCGGGGAAGACTCTGCTTCCTCCCATTGCTCTCTGAGAAGGTGTAACTCGGCTCTCCTTCGTCTTTTCTCGCTTTTTTTGTGCTATTTTTCAGAAGAGAGCAATCGGAAGCGTTGAATCTCCTCCTGCAAGAGCGACTCTTGAACTCGAGTCTTGCCTTTTTTTCTTTTTTTTTTGTGTCTCGGAAAAATAAAAACGAAAAGGAAAAGCATTCCAGTTCACACATCTCTATCTTTAAGAGGCATCTGACTTGCAAAGCAGAAATACAATCGGTCAAAGCTCCTAAGCTCCCGGTCGGGGATGCTATGAATGGATTGGAACGGAGGCTTTCCAGAGCCTCCCCCCCATGTGGCCGTCTCGGGAGGAAATGTGCAGCGGGAAGCTTTCGGTGGGGGGCCAAGCCCCAGCCGCTCAGGACTTGAAGACGTGAACAGCCCGGACGACGAACTGGCGGCAGATCGGACACTCGCTCATGCGCTTCCCACATTTGGTGCAGGCGACCATATGGCCGCACTCCAGCAGCACGCAATCGATGACCGCGTCCATGCAGATCCGGCAGAGGTTGTCGTCCTCGTCGGTCAGCGGAGGCTTCTCTCCTTCTGCCAAGGAGCAAACGGGCACGGTTAGAGGCGGAAGCACAGGACGCGTCGCGTTTACTGACCCAGTTTGCGTCCTTATGAACAGCGGCCCTCAACCTACGGTCCTCAACGGGGGATAGGAGCTTCGGTCGCTAAGCGGTGGAGCGTGAGGCGTTCAAAGGCCTCGGAAGGGAAACGTGAGAACGCGCGCCTTCCCTCCCGCAAACAGAACGCGCGAGACAGAAAAAGGAAAACGGGGAGACTCACGCAGCCGGTGATTCGTCTGGTTCTCCCTGTAGAGCCGGCTGACTTTTTCTACCAGTTCCCATTTTTCGCAACATCCCGAATAATTGACAAAGTTACAAGCCAGGATTTCTTTCAGCTGCCGGACGGTCAGCCCTTCCACGTCATCCAGGCTAGAAATATCGGACAGCGAGGCCCTGGCACGCTTCCTGGACTGGCCCGGAGTCTGAAAAAAAACAGGAGTTTCCCATGGGCAAAGGAGCGAGAGAAGGCAACGAGCCCACAGGACGATGGAAAGCCCAACCACCAGGGATTCCCCTTCCTCCCCCACCACCCAAAAGGGCATCTGCCTTGTGGAGGAGACACCACCCGACAAGTGCAACAGGCTGGCCACAATTATCATGCTGGCACTTCCTGGCAACCCCCTTCCTCAAGGCCAGCTGTTACCCCACCCCAGTTGGTTAAAAAGATCCACTGCTGTGTTTGGGGGGAAGAGGATACCCAAGCAGGCACCCGATGATGTTTTGAAATATTGTTTGGTTTGCCTTAACACCAGGGGGAGTCTAAACTTGGCAACTTTTTAAAGACCTGTGGACTTCAACTCCCAGAATTCCGGGCTGGGGAGGGTTCCGTGCTGGCTGGAGAATTCTGGGAGTTGAAGTCCACAGGTCTTAGAAAGTTCCCGAGGTTGCCTTAAAACCGGACCAGAAAAGTGATAAGGGAGGCAACCTTCTGGGGTGAAATGTCATTAGCTGGTTTGTTCCTTACTTCTTGAGCTGCGTGGTCTTCCTCCGCCCCCAGATCTGCCGAGAGTCTTTCGCTTGGCCCCTAAATGCACAAGAAGAGAGTTACTGCCAGCTCATCCCTTCCCTTTTTGTCATCTAGAACAGGGGTCACCAACCTTTCGGACCTCAGGGACCACTAAATTCGTAATTTTAAATCCCGCGGACCACTAATATGATTTGTGTAATGACCAGCTGGGTGAGCGTGGCTAGGTGGTCATGTGACTGGGTGGGTGTGGTCAACTCGATGTCACTCACGTTGAGGGGGCGCATCGCCAGCCTCAACTTGCCCCTCCCCTCCCAGCCATTCCTCGCCTCCCCGCCTGGGCTCCTTAGGGCCTCAACAGGAAGCAGTTGTTGGCGCTAAGCAGCCACCATGAGAAAGAGTTGAGTTCAAATTGAATCTGACCGAGAAGGAGGCTCAGCAGAAGCACCTCACTGAGGACTAGGAGCATAGGCTTTCCAAGCAGAGGGAAGACCTGCGGGAGTCCAAGGCCAGGTACCGGCGCCTGGAGGCTCAGCGGGCTAAGATGGTCAGCCAGTTCCGGGCCCTGAGGCAGTCCCACTGACACTTCCCTCCAGCCTTCGCCCAAAGCCCCACACCAGGAGGCCGAAGCAGAGCCAGAGTCGGAATTTCTGCCCCCCTCCGACCCACACAAAAAGACCCCGAAGGGGGAGACTCTCTGCAGCAACAGAAACGTTCATTACACGTATCTGTCCCAGGGGCCGTAGTTTGAGGACCCCTGATTTAGTGCAATATTAAAAATGCCAATAATTTTTCTGAGGACCACCAACATTTTCTCACGGACCACCAGTTGGTGATCGTTGCTCTAGAAGTGGCAGCTTCTGCTCCCCATTGGCCCAACCGGGGGAGGCAGGATCAGGAAAGATCACCCGACACCACCACACACCCCCGCCTTCTCCAGGAACCTACCTGTAGCTGCGTTTCATTGCCCGCGTTTTCCTGCCGGTTGGCGAGGTCTCCCTGAGAGGAGGACACCGATCCAGACAGAGAAACGTGCTGGGTGGAGAGGCTGGATGCCTGCGACCGCGTGGAGTACAAGCTGCTAGTGTCCGTCTCCTCCTCGGAGGCCAACCCGTGGTGGCGGAGGATGAGGTCGACCAAGTCTTCCTTTTCCCGACATGTATCCGTGGGGATGTTCCTGAGCAGGAGGTACTGGCGCAGGTCCTTGACTTTCAAGCGCATCAGCTGCGGCCGCTGGAAGGCCGTCTCCTGCAGCAACTGGCAGGTGCAGCAACGGCGGAGGTTCTCTTGCAAGACGGAGCACACCGAGCAGAAATCCTTCTTGCACTCGCAGCACACGTGCTGGAGGAGAGAGGAGGTGGGGGGGAGGGGGAGAGAAAGGGGGTTACAAGCCTCGCAGTGCGGGAGGAAAAAGGGAAATGAAGGAATAGCTTATTTTATACAGGTCGTCCTCGAGTTACGACCGCTCTCGAGCCCAACATTTCTGTTGCTAAGTGAGGCGCTTGTTAAGTGAGCTTTGCGCCATTTTACAACCCTTTCTTGCCACTGCAGTTAAAGGAATCACTCTGGCTTGTTCAGGGATTGAGAAACGTGCCCTCCAAAGCCTTAAAACGCTCACCTTTTTCCTGAATACGGAGAAGGAAAGGCCACAAGATTTGCAGAGGGCGGGGTTCGCTCCTGCCGCCGCCGCCGAGGAATAGACAGTGAAGTCCGTGCTTGGGGCGAACCGGAAGGGGTTCGCTCCGCTTCCAAATCCGGGCTGCTGGCTGCGAACGGCTCCCGTCCCCATGACCTCATTCAGCAACCCGCAGCAGGAAGCCCACATGGAAGTTGCCCCTGCCTGGAAGAGACCAGCAGAAGCCAAGTCAGCCTCTGGAATCCCGGACAGTCTTCCCAGGTTGAAGCAGCATGCAAAGACAAACAAACACACACACACGTCTGTCTTCGGGACGTCCTGTAAGTAGCCTTATTAGTGCAAGAGTCATTCTTAACGCCCGAACCGACGGAGAAGGAAGACCCACTCCATCGACAATTGAAGTTGCAGGATGCTCCCCTTTCGCACTACGAATTTTGGAAGAGGAACTCGGTTCTCCGGTTATGGTGATCGCCCCAGGCAGTGAAAACTCCAGCAGTTTTCAGGTTTGGTTAAGCGGTGACGATGGCAACAGACACACGTATTTTTCCTACGACGGAGAAGGGAAGGGCACCTGCAGCAGATGTGGCTCCTCCTGTTTCAGGAGTCTGTACCTCTTTTCGTTAAGGGAGCGCCGTCTTTGCCACCTCAATCCTCTGAGGCTCCAGGACCTCTGCCGCACCGGTCATGTCCTTCTCAAATCTGTCCCAAATCATTTTGCCATAGTTGGAAAAGAAAGGAGAAGAGTCCAAGGAGATTCGGAGCCAGCGACCGGCACCACAGTTCCAATATTCCCCATCCAAGCAGGCTGGATGAGCTTCCTCGGACGACTTTTCAGAAAGGGAAGGTGGCCTCTTCCAAAAACTACCAAAGTCTCGGGATTTATGCCGAGGGAAAAGTGAAAAATGAGCCAGCAGGACAGTAACTATAGACTTAACGGTCCCAGGACGCAGGTGCCATCTGTTTCAGGGATCAGCCTGATGGATAATCAATCCAGCTTTAGATAATTGTTGATGCCAAAAGAGGCTAAAATCCCCACAACTAGGATTGCAGTTCACATGCCTTGGCTTTGCTTCCTTGTTTTCTTACTTTTAAGCTCGTTTTTTGCTCCTTATCGTATTCCTCTTTATCATACATATTTTTTATTCGGCTTGCTATATTGTCCGCCGCCCAGAGTTCTTCTGGAGTTGAATCGAATAAAGAAATCAATGAAATATAAGGTCACCTGAAGAGTCTGCCAAGAAACGCACCTTTCTCAGAGTCTTTAAGATGTTGTTGACTTTCAGAGAGTTTAATCAAAAATGTACACAAACATTTACGTCATCATGCTATTTCTTTGGAGAAGAAAACACAGCAAGCAAAACAAGAAGCGTATTTTAATGGAGGGATAAAAACCTCATTCCCCTATTCTTCCGAAGGACATTCGAAATGTATCACTCCAAAATCCTTACGCCCTGAACACATCGTGTAAGAACTGCAACAAGAGTGCAAACTAGCTAGGATTAGCATCTCCTTGCGTGCCTCAGGGTTGTCCTGACAATCCTATCTATAATTCGTGCCCCAAACTAACCCTAAATCTTTGGGCTGTTGTCCTACAGCCTCGTTTTATACAGCAAAGCCTCAACAGAACACCAAGTACAGAAACACCAAGAACGTGGAATTGTGTCAGTTTTGACACAGCATTTATGCCCAGAGAAGCTATCAGTGGCAAAAAGCCTGGGTCTCCCCCTTCAAAGGGGAGGGGTTTTTTTTCCAACATTTCCCACCTTGGAAATGTTGGAATCCAGCAGGCACTTTTTTTGGTGGAACAGTTTTTCCAGCTAGTTCATTTTTCCTTTTTAATTGGCCCGTTTCTAGTCGCATTCTTCACTCAAGCATTCTGAACAACAGAAGTCGCTGTAGTCAGGATGACTACGAAAGCATTTTTGGGGAATTTAAGAATTCTGCCCTTATCGTTTAGACCCCAAAGTCCTTCTCTCCTTCTGGTCTTGTCTTTAGCTGGTTTCATTTTCTCTCTTCAGCTCACATTTCTCTCACAGCCACTCCTGAACCTCAGATCACCACCAAACCGCCAAATTCCTCTTATCAGTTTCAGTTTTGTCGTGCCAAAACTCCTTGGGAGAGCCTCTGTGTCTTTGAAGGATACTTATTTAACAATCATACTTTCAGACTAAGATTGCAAGGAATACCCAAGAAGATTCAATATACAAATCTAGACTCAATAACTGTATTATTTAAAAACCTAAAACTACATGAAGACAGCATAAAGGAAGTATCCAGCTAATCTCTATTGCCCAAAAGGGTTTTTTTTAATTATCTGTTTACAAAGAGGAAGAAATCTCTGGGGAATTCCAAGCAAATAATATTCTTTCGCTCTGGGCCTACAGCAGAGAAGACCCTGCTACTTGTAAATAAGAATTCAAGATCTATGAATCTCAGCTGCTGCTCCTTTTTCCTTGCAGAAAGTGACCGTGGGGAGATCACATCTAGAAACATTTTTTCTCATTACAGAATCATACCCTCCCTGTGTTACTCTTAGTCATACTCAATAAACTTAACCTTTTGTGACTACAGAAGTCCCATCTGCGTTTCTTCAGGAACAGACCTTTGGCGTTGAGCAGGATTTATTTATTCTTATGCAAATGGCAGGATTGCAGCGAAAGATCTAATTTAATCAGACGAAGAGTCCTTGTACACGTAATTTATAGGTATATACGTCCCACATAAAAATGCAAAGCTAACATTTACCCAAGCATTTTTCTTTTCTGTCACAGACTTTGAACTGGCCACCCCAAGCAAGGGTTCGATAAGTCAAATTTCACGGACCTTTAATTTAAAACCCTGTGCTAAGCAGGGAGTCGGATTGGATGCCCTTTCTCATTCTGATTTTCCCGCTATTTGTTAGACTGTAAGGTTGATCACCTACACTACAGTGAATATTGCAAAGGTCCATTCTATATTCTGGCTGATTACTTATCGCCTGACAATAAAGCAGTGTTTCTCAACCTTGGTAGCTTGAAGATGGGTGGACTTCAACTCCCAGAATCCCCCAGCCAGCAGCGCTGGTTGGGGGATTCTGGGAGTTGAAGTCCACCCATCTTCAAGCTACCAAGGTTGAGAAACACTGCAATAAAGAAAGGAGAAATTGTAATGGTTCATCGCGCTGGTTCATTATATTTTCTGGTGGTGGTTATTTCCAAGAAACTGCACCCCAAGAGTGGGCTTTGTCATCTTTAGATCCTCTTGCTTTCCAATAAACAAACGGCATTCCTGCACATTTCCCTCCAAATGAGCCCCCGTGAAACCCAGGAGCCTTGTCACCCGAGCAGAGAAAATAGCACCCCAATTGTTACTGAGCAAGCATGTCTCCGATGACACCGCCTTCTGGAAGAAACTCAAGACAAAATCCTTGGAATCATTGATCACAGGAAAAAAAAAAACAAGTTCCACCTAATTTTCAGAGTGCGTTTTAGCTTTTCTGCTAAGGATGGGAGAAGAAACCCATAAGGCGAAAATATGTCGTGTCCCACCTAGTGAACATGTGAACAGTAGCTGGCAACTGGGTATGACGCTTGTTTTATTTCCCAGATTTCACCTCCTCGCTGTCCCAATGGTGGTGTACAAGGCTGTAGGTCTATGTCCCATTCTGAAGTTTTTACAGGTGGCTTCAGCCCTTGAGAACGCTCTTTCTCATCCCCTGGCAGTTTTTTACAACCTCTTTTAAGACTGCTGGGGTTGCTCTCCCTCGTCACTTCTCTCCAACGTCTTTTATTGTCCTTCCGTCCTGGTTTTAAACCGATGCTCCTTTTTCGCCTCCTCTCATGCGCGGCGGCGTCTCTTTTCTATTTGCACAGCTCCTTGCAGAGCAGAGCGCCCCGAGGCCGGTCCTGATTGCCAAGCGGTGTCCCCCGTGCACTGTGTTTTGCGTTGGCTGCGCAACCTCCAAACACACACACACACACACACACACACACACACACACTCCTTTCCCCAAGACCGGATCCAGCAGATCCACCCAACGAGAGGGCTGTGGAATTGCTGTCATTCAGTCCTGCAGCCGGTTTGCCCCAAAACAACCCAAGACCAGGGTCGTTGTTGTTGTTGTTGCTTGCTGAGTCAGCTCCAGGTCCAGAAGTAACAAACATTTAATCATCATCATCATCATCATCACAACAACAACAATAACAATCATTCTCTGCACTTTGATCCTTCCGGGTCAGGATGGAAGTTTGTGGATCTGTTTTGAAGCCTGCTGGGATTGATTGATTGATATATATATATATATAAAACTTATGCCACCCTCTCTCCCAAAGGACTCAGGGCAGCTTCACAACAATAAAAACACATAAAATTCAGTATTCAAATATAAAAACCAATAAAATCCCCTTTTAAAAAAATCCTCATTTAGTGGGGGGGGGGGGAAGGACACCTGAAGGGAAGACTCTTTTTTTGGGAGGGGGTCTCCATCCACCAGGAGAAATAATAATAATAATAATAATAATAATAATAATAATAATAATAATAATAATAATAATACCGGTTCATGATTGATGGGTTAAAGCCCCGCCCCGGATGTTCAGACCCCTCCCCCTTCATTCAGAGAACCCCCAGACCCAATTCCTCCCCCTCTGCAGCCCCCCCCTCATTTTAGACCCCCCTCCCCCCGCTGGTTCACCTTCATGGCCGCGCCAAAGCCTCTTCCTGTCTTCGCCTGGACCGGGATAGGACCGGAAGTGGGGGGAAGGGGCTCCAACGGCTCAACCGTCTCCGGCTCGCGCCCCCGGCCCGCGCGTTCTCGCGCCACGGCCACTCGCCCTATTCCACGCATGCGCGCAGACGGTTTTTTTTTTCTCCCCTTAGGTGTCCAAAGCAGGTAGGCGGGGCCAGCCGGGGGGCGGGGACCGGGAAAGAGGCCGTTGGCCGCCCCAACCCTCAAGCTCTCTGTCTTCCCATTGGCTGTCCCCGAGGGCCAATGACAGCGGCACAATCGGGCGGTTCCATTCTGTGGGAAATGGAGGGGGGGTTGGGAAGAAATGGGTGTAAATGGCAGAAGGGGTGAGTTTAATGAGGGCGTCCTTGGGAAAGTGGGGGGGGAGAGTGTGACGTCACAGTATTTCAGAAAAGACTTGGGGGGGCTCTTACATCACATGTTACATTCTTTCTCCGGGGTTCGTGATTATAATGAAAACTTATTTATTTATTTATTTATTTATTTTATTTGATTGGGGTGATTTTGTCATACTAAATATGCCTTTTGGAAATGTTTTGGAATAACGTGTACTGTAGCAATAATTTTTTAAAAAATGGTCTCTAAAGTTGTGTTTATTTATTGCAGTGTTTCTCAATCTTGGTAGCTTGAAGATGGGTGGACTTCAACTCCCAGAATCCCCCAGCCAGCAGCGCTGGCTGGGGGATTCTGAGAGTTGAAGTCCACCCATCTTCAAGCTTCCAAGGTTCAGAAACACTGATTTATTGGGTTGTTTCCGCCCCCAGTTCCATTTTTTTTCCAGCTACTCCAAATTATAAATTATGAACTCATTAATAATATTAAACTAGTCCTTTAAAGTTCCAGCCTTGCAAAAATATTTTAGAAACACAGCTGTTGTTTGGAAAACAGAAATTTGTCTTATGTCAGCAAAACTTTGTGCATGGTCACTCAGAAAAGCAGTTTTTAGAATCACGTCATATGGTGAGAACTGAGCAGGAAGCTTTTCTGGTCAGGAGATTATGCTGGAGAAGTAAGCCATTCTTATCTGCTATTCTTATCATTAAGTCTTCTTAAATTTACACCAAGGTCATTAGCATAGCAATTGGTAATATACAGACCTTTGCTTAATTGTGGAATAAACACTAATAAAACTAACTTTTAGTATTGAAATATAACATTTATGGATGTGCTGAATATGGAGGATGCTAGCAATATGTATATGTATATGTATATGTATATGTATGATTACAAAGTTACTGGTCTTGCATGAACATATTGGAAAAGACGCAAGCTTTCATGGTCTCCAGTAGAGGAGAATATTTGCAGGTCAAAGTAGATCTGTGGAATTCCTGGTGTCTCTGAGCTTGGTAGTTTGGTGGCAAGCATTTCATTATTATATTAGATAGCACCATCAGTGTTGAGTTATCAGCTCATCACCCAATATTTCACACAGAACTCCTCCGCTAGGGAGTCCTACAAAAAAGAGATAGTATACAAATTAAAAACAAAACAAAACTAGATATTTGTTCTAGTTAGGGTATACCTAGAACTAGATATGGTCTAGATATCTAGCTTTTCCTCAGAAATTCCACTCGCCTGGAACGGAATAGGGTCTCCTGCTTGTGGCAGGGGGCTGGACTAGAAGGCCTCCAAGATCCCTTCCAATTCTCATTCTGCAATTTCCCCCCTATTTCTTTTAAGCACAACGGAACTCTCGGCACCGCGCCTTTTGTTTCCGCTCCTACCCTGAACGTGACTCCCTCTTCAAGCTTCGCTCTCATTGGCTAAGGCCCGGCCCTCGCGCGCTTCCTCCGGCGTCGGCCATTGGCTGCTCCGCGACTCAGCGGCGGTTGCCCGGGTGACGGCTGCGGGTGCGCCTCCGTATGCGGTCCCCCATCGCGGACGGAGCCATGGCCAGCGTCCACGAGAGCCTCTACTTCAACCCCATGATGACCAACGGCGTGGTCCACGCCAACGTCTTCGGCATCAAGGACTGGGTCACCCCCTACAAGATGGCCCTGCTGGTGCTGATCCGGGAGCTGGGCCGGACCGGGCCGCAACTCAGCCTGCTGGAAAGGCGGCGTCTCAACCGGCTGCTGCTGCCCCTCTTGCAGGTGGTTGGGTGGCGGGCTGGAGGGGGAAAAAAGGGGAGGCCTGCATCCCTTTGGGGCCTTTGTGTGTGTGTGTGTGGCTGAGGGGGCACATTATTAGTTACATTTATTTGCCTTCTGTCCCAAAGGTGTTTTTTCAGGAGGCAATTGGACTTTCTTATTTTTTTTTCCCTTTGAAGACCTTTCGATTCTCATCCAAGAAGCTTCTTCAGCTCTGACTGGATGGTGGGGAATGAAAGGATTTATATTCCTTGCAAACAGCTGGTCATTTGCATCCTTTTAGAGCAGTGGTTCTCAACCTTCCTAATGCCGCGACCCTTTAATACAGTTCCTCATGTTGTGGTGACCCCCAACCATAAAATTATTCCTAAAACCATTGAAAATATGTGTTTTCCGATGGTCTTAGGCGACCCCTGTGAAAGGGTTGTTCGACCCCCAAAGGGGTCATGACCCACAGGTTGAGAACCACTGTTTTAGAGGGTGGTTGAAGCAATTCAATTCAGTTCAAATCTTTATTGTCAGTGCACAACATGTGTACAATGAGATTGGTTGAGCTCCCTCAGTGCACCCCCTCCCCAAAGCACCCTCTAAAATGATGCAAATGACCAGCTGTCTGCAAGGAATATAAATCCTTCCATTCCCCATTATCCTGTCAGAGCTGAAGAAGCTTCTTGGATGAGAAGTGAAACGTCTTCAAAAGAAAAAAACAAGAAAGTCCAGCTGCCTCCTGAAAAAGCACCTCTGGGACAGCTATGACCTGGATGACTGAGAATCTGTACAGACTTTTATTTGCATCAGTGGGATTAATTCAGGAAATCATATTTTGTGAACTGTGAGTGGGTTCTGTGAACACGGCCATTCTAACTGTTAATGTTACTTCTTTATTTAGGGTCCTGATATGACACTGTCTCGTTTGATTCAAGCTATTGATGAATGCTGCCCCGAAATAGCAAATTCTGTTCAAACAAGGTAAGTGATTTTTTTCCCTTTTTGCATATTCCAGTTTGTTTCAATGGTGTCCACTCTTGTTTGCTTACCAAGTCTTGTTAGTGGGGTTAAATGTGCTTTGAAGGATGTAACTTTAATAAAATTCTCCAGGTTTTAGGTTCTTTCTCTGAAAAAGAAGTTTGTTTTACAGGTTTGAAAATGTTTTTTTGGATGAAGAAACTTGTTAATCCTTTTTTAGGGTGTGGGAGGGTTGGTGCTACAATTTCAATTCTGATTTCAAAATACTTATTTATTAACATTCATCTTTTGGAGGAACTATAGTTCATGTGCTTTGTATACAGAACATTGTAGCATCATCTGTTGACCTCACATACAGGATTAAGCTGATGGCAGAAGGTGAATTGAAAGATATGGAACAATTCTTTGATGATCTTTCAGACTCATTCAGTGGAAACGAACCAGAAGTTCACAAAACAAGTGTTGTAGGTAAAAAAAAAAACTTAGTTACTTCATATCTTAAATTTTCACTCCTTGGCTAAAATCTAACTGCCTAAGCTGGTTTGTTTCAGTAAAACAAACTCAACTTAGTTTGTCATACTTAATTTTTATGGATTTGCAAAATCTTTTTGATGCAAATAAATTTTTTGTCACTTGTTCTGTTTGGGGAAATGCTCCCTGTTGTGGTGGAAATGGGTATTACAAAACCTGGGGAAGATGAGGAGGTTTTATTGTATCGCATTGTTGAGCTGATAAGGCAGGAGATGGGCCAAGTCCACAACAACAGCCTCCTCCTTGCCTCTGCAGGCTTGTTTCTGCGCCACATGATCCTGGCCTATAATAAGCTCTCATTCAGCCAAGTCTACAAGCTTTACACGGCTCTCCAGCAGTACTTCCAAAATGAAGCGAAGAAAAGCAGGAGTGATGAGAGCGAAATGGAGTTGACACGTGGCGGAGAACCAGATGAGGAAATGGAGAAAGAAGAACTTGATGGACCATTCAGGTTATTATTTATTCATTTCTAGGAAATCCATATTTAGCCTCAATCTGTGAGGACTCTGACCAGCTTATTAAACAATAATATGATTAGGATAGGATAGGATAGGATAGGATAGGATAGGATAGGAAAGGATAGGATAGGATAGGATAGGATAGGATAGGATAGGATAGAATAGAATAGAATAGAATAGAATAGAATAGAATAGAATAGAATAGAATAGAATAGAATTCTTTATTGGCCAAGTGTGATTGGACACACAGGGAATTTGTCTTGGTGCATATGCTCTCAGTATACATAAAAGAAAAGATACATTCATCAAGAATCATAAGGTACAACACTTAATGATAGTCATAAGGTACAAATTAGCATAGCTGGCTGGAGAATTCTGGAAATTGAAATCCACATGTCTTAAAGCTGCCAAGTTTGAAGACCTCTGCTCTAGTGTGACATCTGAGGCCTTCTGTTCTGGGGTTTGTTTGGGGGGGTAGGAGGGTTGCCCTTTTTGAAACGAACTGCTGTCTTTGCTACTGAACTTTTGGGTCTTTTTATTTTCTGGAGAAATGTCATGATGGGTTCTCTCTTTGAAGGGAGGAAGAGATATCCTGCAATGGGCCCCTCTCACAGAAGCAAGCAGAATACTTCCTCTCCCAACAGGTATGTTAATTGGTAAGCTCAAGACAAACTGAGCATTTTGGTCCATGCTACTTCCCATCACAGCATACTTAATATATGGGAAGATGAACAGTGGGTGTGGAAGAGATTCTACAACTTGAGGACTAGAGTCTTGATATATCTGCAATTCCAAAAGGCAAGGTGTTTTATTGTAACAAATTTCCTACTATCTCCCTAAAAGAATATCTGCAGTTGATTGCGTAAGAAGCACATACAATATATAAGGAAAGCTTCTCAACTTTGGCAGCTTGGAGATGTGTGGACTTCAACTCCCAGAATCCCTCCACAGCCAGCATGATGTCCACACACCTTCAAGTTGCTACAGTTGTAGAACACCGATATTAGCGGTGTTGATTACCGAAAGGTTTAATTTATATTGTCCCAGTAAATTTACATCTCTTTAACAG